ATTTGTTATGCAGCAATCAGTAACCAATGCCGAGCTCAAGAAGGCTCCGGGGTGTCCAACCCACCCTTTCCCACCCATCAGGGTCCAGCGGAGGCCAGGAGGGATCAGGAAAGGGTGTCCCTTGGCCGACACAGGTCTGCCCAGGGCAGAAAGGGATTACATAACCTAGCGGGGCCTTCCTCTTTTTGCCTGGGCCATCAGAGCTCCCAAGGCAGATTCCTGGGCTCGGGGCTGATCTGCTGAGCTCAGGTGCCTGATGCCATCCACCCTCTCCGCTTCCTTCCTCTGGCCTGGCTTCCGTTTTCTGTCCTGCCATTGCCTTAAAATCTAGAATTGGGCCCGGCTTGGTGGCTCATGCCTATAATCCTACCGCTCTGGGAGGCCAAGGCGGGCAGATTGCTTGAGGTCAGGAGTTCGAAACCAGCCTGAGCAAGAGCAAGACTCCATCTCTACTAAAAATAGAAACAAATTAATTAGCCAACTAAAAATATAAAGAAAAAATTAGCCGGGCATGGTAGCGTGGGTGGCTGTAGTCCCAGCTACTCGGGAGGCTGAGGCAGTAGGATTGCTTGAGCCCAGGAGTTTGAGGTTGCTGTGAGCTAAGGTGAAGTCACGGCACTCACTCTAGCCTGGGCAACAGAGTGAGACTCTGTCTCAAAAAAAAAAAAAAAAAAAAAAAATTAGAATTGCCTCAAGTCCTCGCTAAGAAAAGGATGAAGAGTTTTTATTAATACAATCTGACTCCATGGAAGCTTCCAGCCAGCCGAGAGCATCACAAGCATTAATTCCTATGTCTCCCACCCCACAAGAAGGGTTTGCTATTCGTCTCCCCATTTTTCAGATGAGGGCACTGAGGCCTGGAGCAGGGAGTGATGTGCCCAAGGTCACACAGCCCATAAGTGATCAGCGCAGCCGGCCTGGAAGCAAGGCCTACCTGGTACCTGGTCGCAGAGTCCTGCCTCCTGACCACCTCCTATGCCGGGGTGGCAATAATGGCAGTAACGGAATTAACAGGTAATTATTAGAGCATCATATGCCAGGCGTCGGTTTGGGGCCTTTAGAGGGATTAACGATTTACTTTCCCCTTCACCTGTATGAAGGAGAGAATGCTGTTTCCCCCCATTTGACGGAGAGGGAAACTGAGGCACAGAGGAAGGGAAAGCGTACCCGCCCCGGATCAAGGCGGCCTGGTTAAGTGGCCCCATCAGGTGATTTGCGCGAGCTCAGAGCTCCGCTCTTAGCCCAAAAGCGCGGCGCACCCCCCACCACCCCGCACCCCCCACCCACCCCCCAGCCCGCACCCCACCGCGCGGCGGCCGTGGAAGCGCAGCCGCCACCTCTTCCCGCCCCGCGGCCGGGAATCTGGTTTCTGGGGGAAGTGACTCAGTGGCCTGAGGCCCCGCAGATAATTATTCACTTCCAATCCCGGTAATTAAAGGGCCTAATAGGCCCGCAGAGGACGCGCGAGCCAGGTGGACCGGCCGTCGTCGACCCCCCGGCCCGTGGACGACAACGGCGCCCACGCGCTCCCCGGCGGGCGCGCGGCCCGAATCCGGCGCCGGCGGCGGCTCTCGCGGGGCTCTGGCGCCCCCTGGTGGCTCTCGGGCGAGGGGCGCAGGGACCGGCCTCCAGGGCAGCCTCAGACCCCCAAGCAGCCTCCGTCTGGACTCCTCCTCCGGGAAGGACTCCACCTCCTGGGTGCCCCCAAGCCTTCCTGAGCCAGGCTGGACGCCGCTAATCCGCCACCCACCGAATGGCCACCAAGGTTGAGAACACGGGTTTGGGCACAGTTTAATGCCCTGGCTTCTCCCTTTAGTGCTGGGTCACCTTGGGTGGGCAAGTGCCTTGAGCTCTTTGAGCCTCAGTTTCCTCATCTGTAAAATGGGGATAAGAAATAGGGATGGCAGTAAAAACTAAGTTAAATGAGTCACCTGTAAGTCGCTGTCACACAGTAAGTGCTCAATAAATGCTGCCTGTTATTATTATTAATTTCCAAGGCACAAATCTGATTATGTGCCATGTCTCTTCCTCATTCTAAACCCTCCCTGGTTCCCCATTACCTTCTGAATAAAATTCAGACTCCTCAGCCTGCCATCCCAAGGCGTCACCGTGTCAGCCCTGAAGACCTCATTTCTTTATTTTTTTTTAATTTTAGCGTACTATGGGGGTACAAGTGTTAAGGTTACATATATTGCCCATGCCCCCTCCCCCTCGAGTAAGAGCTTCAAGCATGTCCATCCCCCAGACGTTGGACATCTCACTCGTTATGTTTGTATACACCCCTCCCCTCCTCCCCCTCCCCCCTCCCGACACCCGATAAATTTTACTCCTGTATAGGACCTCATTTCTTGATAATACCCACCCAACACCCTTGCCCTGGTCATACCCGACTTCTCTCTGTCTCCTTCTGTTTCAAGCTTCCAGACCTTTGCCACACCGTTCCCACTGCCGGACATTCCCTTTCCCTTTCCTCTGCTTGGTTAACTCCTACACATCCTCCCAAACCCTCTGAAATGTGACCTCTGCCTGAAGTCTACCCCAGTTCTTTGGGCCACCTCCCGGACTCTGAGGGCGGGCGGAGTTGTGTCCATTCCCTGGCGCCCACAGGAGCCCGCACATAGTAAGTGTACACAACACTGTGCTGAGACGAAAGGAAGTAGCAGGTACTTATTTGGTGGATGGTGACTCTAAAACCTAGGTTTCTGATGGGAGCTGCGCTGGTTCCACCTCTTATCTAAGCCTCAGTTTCCTCATCTGCAAAACTTGGAGGAGAATAGCTCCTACCGCACAAAGTAGTTGTGAGGATTAAATGAAATTACGTGTGTAAAACCCTTAACACGGCCTGGGCTAGAGTGCACCAGCCTAGCTCTCAGCAACCGCCAACTCCTGGGCTCAGGCGATCCTCCTGCCTCGGCCTCCTGAGTAGCTGGGACTACAGGTGCATGCCACCACGCCTGGCTAATTCTTTTTATCTTTAGTGGAGATCGATCTTGCTCAAGCTGGTCTCAAACGCCTCACCTCAAGGGAATCTGCCGCCTGGGCCTCCCAGAGTGCTGGGATTACAGGTTGAGCCCCCTCAGGCCTTTGTTCGACACTAGGAGGGGGTCACTGAGCACAGCCCGACACTCCCCTCCGCGGCCAGGCCGAGAGCAGCATGGAATGTGAACTAAAGCACACAGCCCCTCCACGGTGAACCGTAAGGATCGGGTGGGCCGAGCAGCGGATACTCCTCAGCCACAGCAGGAGCCACGCGCCCGTAAAATGCCGCCACGTGGAGACGCGGCAGCCTTATGCTCCGTGAAAAGAGCCAGTCGTGAAAGGACAAATGTCACGATTCCGCTTACAGAAAACACACAGAAGAGGTGACTCCATAGAGACAGGAGACCAGGGGTGGCGGGTTGGCGAGGTAGTGGGAGGATTAATGGAGCGGGTTTCCTTTGGGATGAAACGTAGTGAGCGGCAGGAGCCGCTGCTTGATGGCTAAATGCACTGATGGGATGTAAAGGGTTGTGTTGGTATGTAAATTTCATGTCCGATGTTGTTTTTTAATGGAAGAAAGAATGTTAGCTAAAGGGCGGATTGGGGGTCTGGGGGTGTTGCCTCTTTATTACCCCAAACGCGGAGGGCCCGAGCAGGGTGGGCTGCGAGGCAGGTGGTCCTGGCCTAATCCTGGGGATGCGGCTACGCTGCGCAGGGAGGCGAGGCGCCAGAGGACGAGAAGGAAGCAGTGGCACAGGGCAGAGCGAGGCCGGCTCGGGTGGCGAGCTGCGTGTCTCTTTGGGCTCTCGGGCTATCGGACCATCAGTGCCAGAGAGAAGAGGATTGTTATCTGCTGGCCTCTGGGCCCCTGGCAGGCCTCTTCAGAATAGATTCCAAACTCCGTGGCTGGGTGCCTGGCAGAAGCCCTCGGCTTGTTCTTGGGGCCAAGAGCAGACTCTGGCCGCCGCTGGGGTGGTCTGGCGTGCCAACACATGGTGTGTGACCTGGTAGCACAGCCCTTCCTGGCAGCAGAGCCACGGGCCGTGGAGAGGAGGAGAGGAGAGAGAAGATCTGCAAGACTTCCTGGGCAGCGCAGGAGGGAGAGCCTGTGAGGGAGGGGAGGGGCGGGGCGAGCGCCACTTCAATGGGCGAGGGACAGGGGGGCGTCCTTTGTTGGCGCGACACCTGATTTGTCCACACTCCAGCAAGAGGCTTCCGGGGCTTTTTACCCCATGCCAAGACCGTTGTCAGGATGGGCAGGGCCAAAGGCTAGCGACTCCATTCCAGGCTTGAGCAGATGGGTCTGATAAGAAAACACCTCGTTAGGTTGGCTGACGACCCATCAGAGCCAAGCCAAGCCGAGGCCGAAAGCTGTCGCTAGGATCCGCCAGTACCGAAAGCGTTTCTGGGATTCTCAGCTGTGTGAGTCAGTCATTCTCTGTGTCAGAAGCTTTTGGTGTGTAGCTTTTAGCCATGCGTAACAAGAACACCAAGGCCTCCTGCATACTCACGATTTCCCTCTTGGCGGTCATACGAAATAGGGCGGTGTCCGTTGGTCAACTGATGGCTCGGAGTTGGTGGGAGCACCGGCGGAGGGCGGGAGTTGGGGCCCTGCAGGGTGAGGAGAGCACAGTGCCCGCAGTTTGAGCTGTGCTGAGCCGCTATGTACCAGGCCTTGTTCCAGAAGGGGTAACTGTTCTCATGCCCAGAGACAGTTGGCAAGTGAACCCTTAAATAGAGTGACAAGTTAGGAAGGGGCACGGAGCTCAGTGAATCCTTCCAAAAACCCTTCCAAAAACCCTCACCTCCATTTTCCAGATGAGGAAACTGAGGCTCACAAAGCTGAAGAGACAAGCTCACACAGTGACTCAGATTCTAGGCGGGGATTTAAATCCAGGTCTGGCACTAAAACTTTTAGTTTGTATTAATTTTATATTTTTTTGAAACAGAGTCTCGCTCTGTTGCCCAGGCTAGAGTGCCGTGGCGTCAGCCTCGCTCACAGCAACCTCAGACTCGTGGGCTCCAGCGATCCTCCAGCCTCAGCCTCCCGAGTCGCTGGGACTACAGGTGTGCACCACCATGCCCCACACAAGTTGCTCCAGGAGTCCGGGGCTTCATGGGCGAATGTAGGACCTCCCCTGCCCTCCTGCAGTCCTGGGTGTGACTCAGGGACCACGCTTGCCTTCAGGTCCTGACCTTGACCCCACCGCACACGCAGGGACATACGTACTGAGGGCAGCGTCCGGCTCCTGGTGGGGTGCGAGTCATCCGGGGGAGGTGTCGTTGGCCTGTGGGTTTTGCCCGGGCCAAGTCTGGGGAGGCTTCCTGGGATGTGAAGTGGAGGCAGCCAAGCCAGCAACGTGGGCTCTGGGATCCGACGGGCTGGGGTTCGAGCCGGCTCCTGTAAAGGGAACGCGGCCTCGGCCTCGGGCAGTGTCTCCTGGCTGTTTGCAGTCGGTGAACCTCAGAGATTTAAACTGCTCCTTAAGAGAAAGCGTCCGGGAATTTGGGGGTCTGCAGCAGGGCTCTGGGGGAAGAAGAAAGGCTCCGTAAATGGAGGGACAAGGGGATGAAGAGATGAGTTGGCGAGGCCACCTTTTACTTTTTTATTTTATTTAAAAATATGAAGGGGGTACAAGTGTCTTTGGTGCCTGGATGAACTGCATCACGCTACGTCAGGGCTTTTGGTGTGCCTGTCACCCACCAGAAGAGTGCACGCTGTACCTGACAGGTGAGTTTTTATCCCTCACTCCTTCCCACCTGACGCCACATTTTAAAGCAGGGCTCACCAGTGGCCCGTGTGACACTATGGACGGCAGCAAGACCGTCCCGGTCTCGGGGCTGGCAGCAAACTCTGCTCACACCCAGCAGCCCGGGCCTCGCGCCCATGGATAGAAGTGGGGGGACGCCGGCCCTTCCTATGTCCCCTCCCCTGCCCGAGCGTCTGTGCTGAGGACACTTTCAGTTCCTTCTTGGGGTGGCTGGCTCAGTCCCGTTCCGGGGTGGGGCGGCCACTGTGGAGGAAACTCCGATGCCAGCCGGGACCCCATCTTCCGGCTGGTGGCTGAGCGAGGGGGGCAGTGTGGGGAGGGTGGGAAGCTGAGACCTGGAGGCCCACAGCGGGGCCTGGGGCCCAGCTCAGGCACCGAGTCATGTCCCCGCCACCGCGCACCTACTACGTGCCAGGCACTGCCAGGCGCTGAGACACGCGGTGAACAAGGCACACCGAGCCCCTGGCCTCCCGGACCTGCCTTCTAATGGGGGGGGGGGGCGATGGGAGGGGCCGTCACAGGCGCGGCCCAGAGTCATCAGACCCGGACACGCTGCCTGCTGCCTGCTCCTCGGTCCCCTGCACACCGGCTCCTCTCCCCAACCTCTGGGAAAAGCCCGCAGCCCTCCCTGACCTGCCCCCACTCCTGTGCTTCCTGCCTCTGAGCTTTGCATTTGCTGTTCCCTCTGCCAGGAATGCTCTTCCCGGCAATTTGCAACTTTTGTGCCTGGACCTTCTCAGGGAGACCATCTTCCCCAAGGAGTCCCGCCTTCCTGCCCTGCTCATCGTCCTCCTCGGCTCCCGACTTCAGGGCTGTGCGGGTGGCCGCCGCGTCCTTCTTCCCTGCGGTTGGGGGGGGGGAGGGGGCGCTCATCTGTCTGTCTAAAAAATAATAATTCGCTGAGGTGAAATTCCCGTAACATCAAACGAACCACTTTAAAATGAGCAGTTCTCTGAGCAAGAGCGACACCGTCTTCCACTAATACAAGAAGATTAATTGGCCAAGACTGATATATATATAAAATAATTGCCGGGCATGTGGCGGCATGCTGTAGTCCCCGCTACTCGGGAGGCTGAGGCAGGGGATCGCTTGAGCCAGGAGTTGAGGTTGCTGTGAGCTAGGCTGAGCCACGGCACCTCACTCTAGCCTGGACCAACAAAGTGAGACTCTGTCTCAAAAAAAAAAATAAAAAAAAAATAAAATAAAATAAAATGAGCAGTTCTGTGGCATTCAGGACATTCGCCGTGTCGTGAAGCCACCATCTCTAGTTCCAGAACATTCCCATCACCCCAGAGGGAACCTGTGCCTGGGAAGGGGCTGCTCTCTGTCCCCTCCTCCCTCAGCCGCTGGTGACCACTCACCTGCGTCCTGTCTCTCCCAAGTGGCCTGTTCTGGACGTTTCATATAAACGGACCCTTTGGAGCCTGTTTCACTCAACACCATGTTTTCATCCACTTTGTCGCGTGGATCAGAATTTTGTTCTTGGCCAGGCTCGGTGGCTGTTATCCCAGCACTTTGGGAGGCCAAGGCGGGAGGATCGCCTGAGCCCAGGAGTTTGAGGTTGCAGTGAGCTAGGCTGATGCCATGGCACTCCGGCCCGGGGTGGCAGAGCAAGAATCTGTCTCAAAAAAAAAAAAAAAAAGCATTTTGTTCTTTTGTGCGGCTGAGTATATTCTACCGTACAGATGTGGCAGCTCCATTTGCCCGCTGCCGCAGGTCGGGCCTGTTTCCATCCCTCGGCTGCTGTGGAATCCTGCAGCCACAAACACTCCTGTCGTGCCTGTCTTCTGTTGTCGCCAGCAGCAGAATGGAAGCAGAACGCCTGTCTTTGTAACTAGTATCCCCGGTGGTGCCAAAGCGGAGCTCAGGAAATACTGACTACAAGAACGACAGGCTGGAGGAAGCAAAGGCATTTGACTTATCGGGAGGGGAAGAGTTGGCCCCTTCTGGAAGGGGTGATGGTGGAGTGAAGGCTTAAAGGGTGACGGGGGTCCCCGTGAGGTGAGGGTGCATGTGGGAGGCAGTCTTCTGGGCAGGGGACCAACTGGGAACAGAGGGAGGCCAGGTAGCTGAAGCAGGGAGAGGAACGTGTGTGAGGAGGCTGGGGTTGGGGGCCAGGGTCAGGCCAAGGAAGGCCTTGTCACTGAGGGGCAGGAGTCTGGACTTGCTCCTGAGGCAGTAGGGAGCCATGGAAGGGCTTTGAGCAAGAGAGTGCCAGGACTTGATTTGACGTGAGTTCTAAGACGATCCCTCCGGCTGCTCAGTGGAGAATGGGCTCAGGAGAGGAAAGGGTGGGAGTGGCAGAAGGGAGACCAGAGAGGAGGCTGCGGCAGCCGACCTGGGGAGCGATGACGGTGGCCTGGCATGGGGAAGTGGTGGCAGAGATGGAGAAGTGACGGATTCGAGACGTGGTTTGGAGGTAAAATCAGGACTTGGTCATGGCGACCACGGCCCAGTTCTGGTTCCCAAATTCCCCCCTGCAGTCCTCCTGACTCACCCGCTTCTCTCCACACCGCTCCGCCTCGCAGCCGCAAACACGCCCGGCCGTTCACAGTAGCCAGAGAGCGGAGACAATCCAGTGTCCCTCGGCGGGTGGACGGACGAACAAATGCCACCTGTCTATGCCAGGGAATATTAGTCATAGAAAGGAACAAAGCACTGACATGTGCTACAACACAGATGTACCTTGAAAACATGATGCTGAGGGACAGAGGCCAGACACAAAAGGCCACGTGGTGTGTGATCCATTTGTATGAAATGTCACCAGCCGGCAAATCCATGGAGACAGAAAGCAGATGGGTGGTTGCCAGGGGCTGGGGGGAAGAGGGTACAGGGTCTCCTGTTGGGGTGATGAAAATGCTTTGGAACTAGATAGAGGGCACAGTTTCATAACATTGTGAATGTCCTAAATGCCACTGAATTATTCACTTTAAAATGGTTAATTTCTGTTATGTGAATTTCACCTCAATTAAGAAAAAATGAATAAGGAACCACCACAACAAAAGAGATGCCAGACTCTTGCTCTCTGACTTCCGCCTCCTTCCCCCATGTCAGCCCTTGAGGGGCTCTGACAGCCGGGAGGCACAGCGTTCCTGGGATTTTTCTCTACTTCAAGGCGCAAATGCCCATGTGCCTGGCATTTTCCTTTCCTGGTGAGGGTGTACATTTGGGGACATCCCACCTTGCCTTCCCTGTCCTGGGAATTATGCCAGCGTCAGCGTTAGCCACTGCATCCAGGGGCCCCGCCAATGCCACCTGGTAGGTGTCTCTCTCCACATCTTTCTTGTGCCCGCCTTCACTGTCAGGCAGGCTCCGCCCCCATGGGGGCAGGTTTTGCTTCCCCCACTTAACAAGGTCTCAGGTCTCAGCCCCACTGGCTAGGCTTGGGTCACATGCTCATCCCTGAACCAATCATCATGGCCAGGGGCGTGGACCACGCTGACTGCCCAGGCAGAGGGAATGGGTAACACATCTCTCATGGAACTCTGCATGTGTGTGTGTGTGTGTGTGTGTGTGTGTGTGTGTGTGTGTCTGTCTGTCTGTCTGTCTGTCTGTTTGTCTCCCCAGGGGCACAACACATCTATTCTCTGTGGTCCACAAGTCCTGTCTCCTCCAAACAAAGTGAAGCCCAGAGCAGGAGGGGCCTTCCCGTAGGCCAGAGGCTCAGGACCTTCTCTCCGAGGCCAACCATGTGCTGATGCAAGGCAGACCCGTGACACCTTAGGCACCCACGAAGCACAGGCTCGGTGTTTGCTGACAGTGTGGCGGAGGGACAGAAGAAGCCTTGGAGCAGAGGAGAGTGAAACCGTCCCCTGCTAGAAAATCATACCCAGGGCTTAGTCGGGAGCCTTCCTTCCCATGGGAAAGCTGAGACTGTCTTTTTATGGGTCCTTTTATCTAACAAGCACTTAGTAAGCACCTACTGTATTCCAGGCACTGGGAACACGGCAGTGTTGAAACAAAAAAATCTCAGATGTCATGGAGATCACATTCCAGGGGTATGCTCCATTCATCCCACAAGCATTTACTGAGCACCCACTGTGTGCTAGGTACACAGTTGGTGCCTGGTCCTTTTGCCTATTTTTAAATTAGGTTGTTTATCTTATTACTGGCTTGTTAGAGTTCATTATATATGGAATTCAGAGCCTTTGTTAGAGATATGTATTGAAATTTTATTTTCTTAGTTTGTGGCTTATTTTTTTCTGATGGTATCTTTTGAAAAGCAGAAGTTTTTTTTTGTTTGTTTTGGGGTTTCTTTGAGACAGAGTCTCACTCTGTTGCCCTGGCTACAGTGCTGTGGCATTAGCCTTGCTCATAGCAACCTCAAACTCCTCTGCTCAAGCGATCCTCCTGCCTCAGCCTCCTGAGTAGCTGGGATTACAGGCATGCACCACCATGCCTGGTTAATTTGTTCTATATATTTTTAGTTGGCCAATTAATTTCTTTCTATTTTATAGTAGAGATGGGGTCTCACTCTTACTCAGGCTGGTCTCAAACTCCTGACCTCGAGCAATCCGCCCGCCTCGGCCTCCCAGAGAGCTAGGATTACAGGAGTGAGTTACCGAGCCTGGTCAAAAAGCAGAAGTTTTAAATCTTGTTGAAGTCCAATTTTTAATTTTTCCTTTCACAGATCATGCTTTTTCAGTCTTGTCTTAGAAATCTTTGCCTATACTAACGTTGCAAAGATTTTTCTCCTATTTTCCTCTAGAAGTTTTATGGTTGAGCTTTATGAGTAGGTCTATAATCGATTTTGAATTAATTTTTATGCGGGACAGGAGGTAGGGGTCAAGGTTAGTTTGTCTATATGAATACCCAGTTGTTGCAGCCCAGTTTGATGAAATGACTAATCTGGACTTTTCCCTCCAAATCGTCTTCATTTTTCTCATTACTTAGGCCCTAAAGTTTAGAGTCATTCTGGACTCCTTTCCCCTCTCTCCCTCATTCCCCACACCCAGCCCATCAGCAAATCTTACATATATTTAAAAATTGTGTCCTGAATTTACCACTTCTGTCCCTTTCCACTGTCTCACTCTGCCCTAAGCTGCCACCACCCTCCCTGGTCTCCTCGCCTCCACCCTTGCTGCCTGCATTCCATCCTCCCCGGGCAGCCAGGAGGGACAATGCTAGAACTGAAACAGCTCACAGCCCTGCTCTGCTCAGAACCCTACAGGGCTCCCCATTCTTCTCAGAGAAAAGGCACAATCTTCCCTGTGGTCCCCAAGGCCCCACAAACCTGGCTTTGCCAACCGTCTCTGACCTCATTTCCTGTTACTCCTCCACTGACTGGGCTCCAGCCCCACTGGTCTCCTCACTGTTCCTCAAACACCCCAGGATGGTCCCATTGCAGGGCCTTTGCATGTGCTGTTCCCTCTGCCGGGAACACCCTTCCCCTCGTGGCTACACGCCGCCCTCCCTCATTCCCTCAGGACTCTGCCCTTCAAAGGGGCCTTCCCTGACCCCTTTGCCTAAAAGCTGCAGTCCCACCCCGGTCTTCCTACCCCATTGCCTTGCCTTATAGTCACGCATCATTTCCATAACTTACGTTATCCATCGTCTCGACTCCCGGCTGCTCAGGACCAGTGCCTGGCACACAGTAGGCGCTCAGTGAGAGGCTGCAGAACAAACAGATGATCCTGGCCTGTCTTGTTTCTCTTGCCCTTGGGCCAGGACTGGACAGCGATGGGGATGTGGAGGGTGGTGAAGAGGAGGTGGCAGGAACTAGAAATAAAGGAGGGCTCAAGGGGGTGGAACTGTCATTTTGGGCAGGACAATTTTGGGCAGCAATTCCTATTTACTGAGCCTACTGTCGTGCCACGCACTTTCTAGACGACGACCGTCTATTTGACGGATGAGGTAAACCGAGGCCTACAGAAGTGAAATGATTTCACTAAGGACACACAGTGATTCAGGGGCTTAGTGCGACTGGAATGCAAGTCTGCCCAACTCCAGAACTTTCTTTCTTCACCTGGGGCCAGGGTAGGATAGCTTGGCCTCCTGTACATTTATTTAGAGCAGGGCTTAGTCGGGAGCCTTCCTGTATTGACTTTGTCAGGACGCTTGAAATGTCCTATGTTATTTTTTCAATAAATCACAGATTTTCAGGATTTGGAGATATCTTTCAAATTTAACTAAGTGTTAAATTTGTCAAATCTGGCAACCCCGGGCAGAGGGAGCTGGGACTCCAAGCCTAGGACTTCAGCGAGCGGCCCAGGACCCCAGTGCTTTCTGCAGGCCAACCCATTGCCTGTCCTTACCTTTGGAACCACCGCTGCGAGCTTTCAGGGCTGGAATCTTCTTTTCTGGGATAGGGCACTGGGGAATTGCGAATCAGGCGCGGTTCCTTTAAGAGTGTTTTCGGGGGCGGGCTCACGGGGGCGTGGCGAATCCGGGGCGTGCCGGGTCGGGGCCGGCCAATCGGGCGGCGGGAGGAACGCGGGGCGGGGCCCGGCGCGGGCAGGCCGGGAAGGGTTAAAGGGGCGCGCCCGCGGGTCGAGGACAGTCCGGCTGCCCCCGCCTCCTTCCGTCGGAGCCTTTGCTCTCCGGCGGCTGCGCCCGCCCGGCCACCCCGGAGACAAAGCGCCGCCGCCGCCGCCGCCGCGCGGGTCCCGGGCCATGGCCGGGCCGCCCCCCGGCCCCGCGCCTCCCGCGCCTCCCGCGCCGCCGCCGCCCTAGGCCTGCGCCGCGAGGTAAGGCGGGCCTGGCGGGGGACCTGCGGGCGGACCTCCGCGGGGACGTGGGATCGGGGTCGGGGCTCCTGGGCCTCGGGCCGCCCAGAGAGTACGCCCCTGGGCGCCTGCCGTCGGAGGTTGCGCCGGTGGCACTTTCCCCAGTGCGGGGCGAACTTGGCCGCTGACCCGCCAGCCCCGTGAGGGACGTCCGCCGCTGGGGGCCCTGCGGCCCGGCCCTCCGCGGGCTCCCCCATGCTGCCGTCGGCCGCCCCTCTGCGGCTCTGGCTGTCCCTGACGGAACTTGGGAGGCTCCTACGCACGACACACAAAGGGACAGAGGGCAGCCAGGAGCAGGGCCACACCTGGAGGACCAGACTGTGCAAGGGGCAAGGGGCGCCGTGCCTGGGGCGCCGTGCCGGCGCCCTGTGGCCCCTGCTGGGGGGCGCTGGACAGGCGGCTCTTCAGTGTTCTTGGCACATGTTTTTCAGCCTGTGCCCGCCACACCCTCTTCCCCAAGCCCCGGGGACACTCAGGGCATCTGGATTCAACTCCAGGACCTGCCGTTCTGACTTCTGTCCTTGAAGTGAGTGCCAAAGCACCATGCCTCAGGTCCCCAGAGTCTGGGATCTGGGGCCCGCTGTGTCCCTAGAGACCTTGGGCTAATTATTTGCCTTTTTGACAGCCCCTTCCCTGAATGCTCACCACCCACCAAACATTTTGCAAAATGACTGATTTGAGGATTAATGGGTTCAGCCCTTCCCAGGAAGATGGACATCAATGTTCCCATTTTGCAGATGAGGCTGTAAAGGCCTCAACTCACAGCAGTCATAATATTTGCAACGCCTTTCCCGTAGTTTGCCAGCTGTTCTTCCTTATTTAGCTCATTGAAACCTCTCCACAACCCATATAACAGAGGAGGAAACTGAGGCTTGGAAAGGTGAAGTGACCTGCCCAAGGTCCTCCACCCTGGACTGGCGGAGGCAGGCACTTGGCCCAGGTAGCAGAGCGGGGCTGGGCTCCCTCCAGTCTCCCGCCTGGCCACGGGCTGTTGAATCATCGCAGCTCGCACAGTGGACTCTGAACTTGCTGGAAAACAGCGTGGGGAGGTGAGCCAGGGACCAGGCCTTCCCTGTAGGCTGCAGCCTGTGCCCCTGAGGCTTCCTGCCCGCCCCTTTCTAGCCGGGCTGGAGGTGGCAGGGGCCGTGGGCAGAGCAGGGTCCTGTGCTGGCTGGTGACCTTGGACCAGTGTGGCCCCATCTGGGCAGTGGGGCACAAGGGCTGTGGAATGTTAGGGAAGCTGCTCTTCCTTAGGCCTTGATGGGGTGGAGGGACCCCAAGAGCAGTCCCCCACTTGGGTTGTTTGCCCAGAGCATGTGATTCTGGGCACAGCACTGTGCCTTTGGGCAAGTTGAGTAACCTTTCTGTGCCTCAGTTTCCACATCTGTGAATGTGGGGTGGGGAACGGACTCTTTGTCAGGCAGCTGTTGAGAGGTTTAAGAAGATAACTGATTCACTCTGCAGGTATCTGAGCACCTGCGACAAGCCGGGGCCTGGGATTCAGACTAGCAAGCCCTTGCCCTCCTACGGCAGGCAGACACGACCCAGGTGATTTCAGGCTGAGGCCAGGAGAGTGACTCGGGGGGTCTCCGGTACAGCCGAGATGAAGGATGAGGCGCTGGCCATGTGAGGTGGGGTACACAGAGGCTGAGCACTGGTTTGGGAGAGGCTGGAAGGGCATCACCTGGACTCAGTGATCAGAGATGGGGGTGACAGGGAAACCAAGGGCCATTTGCTGACATAGGACACATTGGGAGCATTTGGGGAGGCTGAGAAGGATGTCAGCAGCACGTACTGTGTGCCCGGCCCTGTGCTCTGTGCCTTCCATGTGGTCACTGTCTCATCATCACAACCCTGACTTAGGCGCTTTATGATCCCATTTTACAGATGCAGAAACAGAGGCCCAGAGAGGCTAACAGCTTGCCCGAGATCACCCTGCTGGATACTGCAGAGCTGTCATTTGAACCCAGAGAAGAGTAGCCGAGCATCGCTGGGCAGAGGGCAGGGAGGCCAGCGGTAGCCTGAGAGGTAGGAGGGAAACTGGGTGAGCTGGCAGGAGGTTCCTGTAAGAAATGGGGCCAGGATCCATGTGGGAGTTGTTTGGTTGGGTGGTGGTGGGGGGGCAATGCATGAATCCCATTTTTCAGGAAGAGAAACTGAGGCTCGGAGAGAGACAGCCTGTGTCTGAGAGGCAGAGTGGGGATTAAACGCCTTGAGCCTTTTAGAGCTCAGGCTTTGGCCCCACCACTGGGTCAGCACAAGCTGATCTTACCTTCTGAATCACAGCTCATGTTGCCGCTTGCAGGAAGCCTCCCGACAGCCTAGGTGGGTGACACGAGGTGGCAAGGACACTGAGGACTTGGTTGGGAGCGACTGCCCTTTCCACCCTAGGTCAGGTGTGGTCAGCTGCTCCCACGAGAGCCCCCACCCAGACCTCATTCCTCCAGAGCCTGAGTAAGGTACCACCCAGGGAGAGAATGAACGTTAATTAAGCTTCTACTGCATTCCAGGGACTTTGTATACTTCACCTCTTGAGAAATATAGCTGCCACCCTATGCAGGGTGTGGCTGTGTAGTGGGAGCACGAGGTGGGACCTCAAAGTGGCCACAGAAAACCCCAAGGGGAGGTGTGGCCAGTCTGGGGCCCCACGTGCCACCTCCTGATAAGTCCTACCTGGCCAGTGTCGCCCCCGTCGTGTACTCCTTGGGGGGAGGTGGATGACATCTCAGTGGCCAGTGCAGAAGTGGAGGTTGAGCCCCGTGTGTCAAATGAGTAGGGGACGCTCCCTGCCCCTTGTTCCCTGTCAGTGGGCCCAGCCCTGGCCCGCGGCTCTATTCACATTGTTTCCTAACAGCCGCTTCCGCCTCTCTGACTAGGTCCCCTTGCCCTCTGCGTCAGCCCCACTGGCCTCCAGCACAGTGGCAGCTGCCCACCCCCGGGCCTTTGTACCTGATGTTCCCACTGCCTGGCATGCCCTTCCCCCAGATGTCCCCCTGGCTCCTGCCCTCACCTTCCCTGGACCACCTACTAAATCAGATGCTCTTCCTGTCCCTACGCTCCCGACTCCCGTTTTTTCCTAGGGCACGTGGAACTTCTGGCAGACATGTTATCTGTTTGTTAGCCATCTGCCTCTTCATCTCTTGCCACTAGCACGCGGGCACCGCCAGGGCAGGGACCCTATCCCTCTTGTTTATTGCTGTATCCCTGGTCCTAGAAGAGTGCCTGGCACAGGAAAGGTGCTTTATAAATATTTCGTGAGTGAAGTAGTCCCTGCAACTCTCTGAAGGAAGTTCTGCTTGTGTCCCCATTTCATGGATGGACAAACCAAGGCCGAGTCACGAACTCAGGGCTGGGACCTGGCAGGATGGGAAGGCCAGCTGGTCTCGTTCCCCAATGATGGAGGCAGCTGCCGCAGCTGACATGAGGCCTGGGTCTGAATTTCAGCCCTGTCCAACCTGCTTTGTTACCTTGGGCAAGCAATTGGCCTCTTGAAACGGGAGCATTGCCAGTCCCTGTCACCTAAGGTTGCTGCAAGATCAAATGAGTTAATATATATAAAATGCCCGGCATGCCGCAGGACTTCTCAAGGTTAGTTTGGGGGTGCAGGACACTAGCAGGAGGGGTGTGAAGCTGGCTTTGGAGCCAGTGAGACTGGGGTTCAAGTCCTTTCCCTGCTCCTTAGGAGCTGTGTGAGCCTGGGCAGGCTGCTTCACTCTGCGAGCCTCAGTTTCCCCCTGCGTGCGGTGGGCACTGGGAAGCTGGGGGGCCCGGCTGCGGCGGGCAGGGACTCACAGCTGTTCCGGGACAGGCCCCAGGCCCGCTGGCGCCATGAAGCTGAACGAGCGCAGCCTGGCCTTCTACGCCACGTGCGACGCGCCGGTGGACAACGCGGGCTTCCTGCACAAGAAGGGCGGGCGGCACGCGGCCTACCACCGGCGCTGGTTCGTGCTGCGCGGCAACATGCTCTTCTACTTCGAGGAGCCGGCCAGCCGCGAGCCGGTGGGCGTCATCATCCTGGAGGGCTGCACGGTGGAGCTGGTGGAGGCGGCCGAGGAGTTCGCCTTCGCCGTGCGCTTCCCCGGCAACCGCGCGCGCACCTACGTGCTGGCGGCCGAGAGCCAGGCGGCCCTGGAGCGCTGGGTGAAGGCGCTGTCGCGGGCCAGCTTCGACTACCTGCGGCTGGTGGTGCGCGAGCTGGAGCAGCAGCTGGCGGCCGTGCGCGCCGGGGCCCGCGCGCCCCTGTCCCCGCCGCTGTCCCCACCCCTGCCCCGGCGGCCCAGCGCCCTCCCGCCCAAGGAGAACGGCTGTGCCGTGTGGAGCACCGAGGCCCCCGCCGACACCACGCGGCCCGGCCCAGAGCCCCCGCCGCCGCCGCCCCGCCGCCGGGCCTCGACGCCCCACGGACCCCTGGACGGGGCCCCCTTCGCGCGGCTGCACGAGTTGTACGGCCAGGAGGTCCGGGCCCTGCGCCGACAGTGGCTCAGCAGCCGCGCCCAGCCCTGAGGGGCCCAACGGCACCAAGGCTCCTGCTCTAGGGGGACGCAGGCCCAGCCCTGAAGAGACAGGGGCCCTGGGTCAAGGGACACGGTGGTCAAGGCCAGCCCTGCAGGCCCTGGGCGCCTGGTCTCGAGGACTCAAGTGCTGAGAAGGTGCTGGATTCTGAGGGGCCGTTAGGACCGTGTGACCCAGAAGGCCCAGCCTTGAGGAGACCGTCATGCCTGACTGTCCCAGAATCCAGGCCCTGCAGGAGCCTCCGGAAGCTGGAGGTTTCTGGAGAACTCGAGCCCTGGCCTGAGCAGCCCAGCAGGGGCCTCTTGCTGGCAACAGGCCTCGCTGGGCCCTCAGCTCAGATGGCCAGCAGCACCCAACGGCAGTCCCCACCTGAGAAGCAAATGCCTGGCCCGCGCCGGCCCTCCACGTGGACGGAGGGGCTGGGCACGGCACAGCACACGGGCCTTGCCCCGCCTGCCCGCCCCTTCCAGAAGCAGCAGGCACAGAGGGAGCTCAGAGGGCTGGGGACGCAGGCGCAGGCTTTCACGCGTGACCGGTAGGGTGAGCGCGCCTGGTCCCCAGGGCTCCTGGCCTGGGGCGGGCTGAAGCAGGACTTTGCCTGGGCCCCATGCCAGGCCTTGAGGCGGTGCTCCTGGCACGGCAATGGCTCTCTGGCCTCGGGCCATCTTTGTGCCCTCACCTGGCTCTCCTGACACTCCTTGACTGTCTCCTTCAGTCTCGTCCCCGGGGAGCCAGCTCTTCTCTCCCGGGCCGGGGCGGGGCCCTTGGGAGCTGCCTGACCTCCGGTCCTGGGCTGCGCAGTGTGGCCTGAGCTGAGGCCCAGCAGGTTTCCAGCAGGTTCGTCCAGGGAGGGGGGCCGCAGCTGACTCACCGCCTGGGAAGGGCCCAGGTGCCGACCCCGTGGCAGAGAAAAGCCGATGCAGAGCTGGCACCGTCCCTGCGGCTCCAGGCAGCGCCCCCTTCTGAGCCCAGCTCAGGATCTGGCCTCGCCTGCCCGCTGCCCCCCTCACCGCAGTGCCACTGCTCGCCCAGGTGAACCTCAGGGCTCCGGCCCTCAGCCTGGGTCATGTTTACAGTCCTCAGTGCCCTGCGTGGGGCGCCCTGAGGACACCTCCACCCACCTTTATTTCCAAGGGGCTGCCTCTTGGTGACAGACTCAGCTCCGCAGCCCCTTCTTTCTGTCTCTGGGGACTCTGGGGTTTTGGGAACATGGCAGGGCAGGGTGACATGTGTCCGCAATCACAGCCTGCGCAGCTCGCTGCTGGCTCAGTGGGCTGGGGCTTCAGCTTGAATTTTATTTTTAAATACCTAGGGTTTATTTTTTTCTGGCGACAAAGCTTGGTGTTTTCACGCGTTTTGTTTCCTGCTGGCTGGTGGGAAGGGATGGGCCGGCTCTGGCGACAGGGGCAGCCTCGGCTGGAGCAGCGCAGCTCAGAGATGCCAAGGTGCTTCCGGAGGGGCTCTCACCCGGTTCTCCCCCTGGCAGGTGCCTCTGGGGACCTGGTACGGCTTCTAGAAGCCTCCACCCAGCTTCTAGAAGCCTGGGTGGTGAGGGCGGGGGGTGGCTCTCTTCCTCAGGCTCCAGAGGAGGGTCAGGACCTGCCCAGAGCCCCGCGTCCTGGCAGACCCAGCTGGCGGGGGTGAGGTGTGAGCCCCAGTCGTAGTTCAGGTTTACAAACTCTCAAGGTACAGTGGCCCTGGTCTCCTGGGGGACAGTAGTGGGGGATGTCCCCCTGCCAAAGCACAAGATGAGGTCAGGCTGCCTCCCGGCTTGGGTAGGGGAGACACGTCAGGCGTCCTGGGAGGGGGACGCAAGAGCTAAAATAAACAAAAGTGTGTCAAGTCCTGGCTGGTTGTGTCATTTTCCCCCCATAAAAATCACAATTGGTTTGCGTGGCAGGCCCCCCGGGGACTTGACTAGTGTGTGGTCCCCGTGGCTCTGTCAGGCACATTCTCACAGCCTCTTCAGGCAGATCCTGGCCCCATTTTACAGACAAGGAAACTGAGCCTCAGAAAGGGTGTGAAATTTGCCAGGGCCACACAGCTGGAGAGCATCAGAGCAGCGATGTCAACCTCAGGGGTCCTGTGGCAGGACAGAGCCTTTGGGAGGGACATGAGGGAACATGGAGCACAGAGCCAGTTCCTCTGCAGAGCCAGGGAGGGGAGGAAAGGCAGGACTTGAATGTCAGCTGTGGACCGAGACCTGAGAGTTGGAAGGGAAGTTAGTGGTGATCAGATCAGGGTGGCAAATGGAAGAGTCAGGACCTGGCTCTGCTCACTGCCTGGGGACCTGGGTGAATTCTGGCACCAACACCTGTTCAGAGAGAAGGATGCTGCAGTGGATTAGTAATGTCTGCTGTGAGCACCTGGTGGAGGGTCGCAGCACTCACGCTGTGCATCTGCTCTCTCGGATGGATGGAGTCAGTTTGCTGGGCTAATGGGGGGTTCATGGAAGGGAAGGGGGTGGCCCAGCGTGAGGGACTAGGTCCTAGGTCCACGTCCTTCCTAGGACTTGGAGCTTGGGTCACAGGTCTCCCTCACCAGTCTGGAAAAACCATGCACAATTTAGGAAGATGTGGCTTAGGATGGGCAACCTACAGCCCTCATGTTCAAATTCAAGAAATGAAAAATATTAAGGTCAGGGAATCATGCCACTTGTGAACATCCAGCACATGCTGAGTAATTCTTTCCATCTCTCATGGGACCACAGCTGACAAGTGGGGCCTGGGGAAGTGGCTGAGTCAGGGTGCTGCTGTGGCATTTGTGACCGCAGCCACCGCAGGGCATGGGGTGCAGAGTGGGGGAAACAGCAGGAGAGAGACAGCTCTGAGAGAGAGGGTCACAAGTGTGCCCTTACCTGCCGCAGTGTTTCCATGGAGCCAACCGAAGGGAGAAAGATTGGTCAATACCAACACTTGCATCCACGGGCTAACAAGTCTGTGTTTCCTCTCAACCCAGGGCAGGTGTGAGGGCACATGTCTAGGGGGATATGTATGTGGTCAGAAGGAATATTTGGAGAAGCCACTAGGAGTAGGGGGTGAGACCCTCAAGGGGGACACTCAGGCCCCAGTTTAATGTTAGTTGCCCAACATCCATCCACCCTGAGTAATTAGTCAAACTTGATCAGTTGACTACAGGCTTCCAGGAAATGGCTAAACTTTAGCTGCCAAAGAATGGCTGTTTGATCCAATTTTGGTCAATGAGATGTGAATAGAAAGGTCTTGCTTCTAAAACGACACCCATGGGAGGCCAAGGCGGGTGGATCGCTCAAGGTCAGGAGTTCAAAACCAGCCTGAGCAAGAGCAAGACCCTGTTTCTACTAAAACATAGAAAGAAATTAATTGGCCAACTAAAAATATATAGAAAAAATTAGCCGGGCACGGTGGTGCGTGCCTGTAGTCCCAGCTACTCGGGAGGCTGAGGCAGGAGGATCGCTTGAGCCCAGGAGTCTGAGGTTGCTGTGAGCTAAGTGACACCATGGCACTCACTCTAGCCCAGGCAACAGAGTGAGACTCTGTCTCAAAAAACAACAACAACAACAACAACACCAAATAAAATAAAAATAAAGACACCTAGTAAAGAGCTCTTCATTGTTCTCCTGGCGGAGGGGTAGGAGGAGCTGTGTCTGAGGCCCAGAGCTCTGGCAGCCATCTTGCCACCATGAAGCAGGCTGCTCTAAAGAAAATGCCCTGTGCTGAGTTTGGCACACACTTGAGGGTGACTCTGGGTGACCAACCACAGGACTGTTGTTGGCTTAGTAGGGTGCAGGTTGGGGCTAGAACAGGATTCCCTGGAACAGTAGAGAAGCCACTGCTTCTTATCCTTTCAAAGCATTCCATCTCTCCCCTTCTGAGTAAACAAATATTGAAAGAATATCATGCCCCCATATGGCTCTGCACCTTGTATGTTCCTAAATGGGGCTGCTTTGTCCCTACTCTGTGGCTAGATCTGGTGCCAGCTGTCCTCAACCCCTCCCCAGATCATCTTACCTCACCGTATACAAACTTTGGTATGAAGAATGCCCTGCCACCTCTCCCAGTCTTTAAATCTCAGCATCCAAAATGAAACTCCTCCAAGGTAGTAAAATAAAAAGCTGCTTAAGGCCAGCTGTAGGTCTGCATTTTTTGAGGAAGACTTTTTAAAAGGTGGGCCTTGCAAATCATTTGCAATCTGATAAGGGATTGATATGCAGAATATACAGAGAATGCCTAAAACTCCACAACAGAACAACCTGATTAGAAAGTGGGCAAAGGACTTGAATACACATTTCTCCAAAGAAGACACACGAATGGCCAAGCAGCTCATGAAACAGTGCTCAACACCACTAACCAGCAGCGAAATGCAAATCAAAGCTACAGCGAGACACCTCATACCCATCAGGACGGCTACTGTGGAAGAACAGAAAGTAGCACGTGCTGCCGAGGATGTGGAGAGACTGGAGCCCTTGAGCGCCGTTGTTGGGAATGATAATGGTGCAGCCGCTGTGGGAAAGAGTGTGGCGGTTCCTCAAACAGTTAAAAATAGAACCACCACATGATGCAGCAATCCCACTTCTGGGTGCACATCCAAAGAACTGGAGGCAGGGGTGGAGGAGGCGTTGGCACCACAATGCTCACAGCAGCACTGTTCCTAGTAGCCAGACGTGGAAGTACCCAGTGCCCACCAGTGAATGGATGGAGAATCGAAACGGGTCCATCCATATGCTGGACCATTATTCATCCTTAAAAAGAAAGGAGGCCGGGTGCAGTAGCTCACGCCTGTAATCCCAGCCCTTAGGGAGGCTGAGGTGGGAAGATCGCTTGAGGCCAGGAGTTCAAGACCAGCCTGGTCAACATAGTAAGACCCCTGTTTCTACAAAAAATTGTTTTAAAAAAGGAAGGAAATTCTGACACATGGAGACCTTGAAGACATCATGCTAAGGGAAAAAAAGCCAGTCACAAAGGGACAGATACCATAATTCCACGTATTTGAGGTCCCACGTGTAGTCATATTCATAGGGACAAAAAGTAGAGTTTGGGTGCCAGAGGCTGGGGGAGGGAAGTGGGGAGTTAGTGTGACGGGGACAGAGTTTAGTTTTACAGGATGAAGAGAGTTCTGGAGAGGGCGGTGGTGATGGCTGCACATTATGAATGTACTTAGTGCCACCGAACTGAACACTTAAAGATGGTTAGGACGGTTAAGTTTTCTGTTATATTTTACCACAGTAATAATACATTTTACAAGGTGGGCCCATGATCTGTTTTCTCCCGAGGGTTGCAAAAAGATTGCCCCTCCTGAGAGCGGCTGGCCACCTCCACCCTTACCTGTGCTTGGGGCTATGAACAGAGCTGTCCTTGCCCCAAGCAGTTCTGGGAGCACGCGGGCGCCAGGGCCACAGCTGTCACTGAGTCTCTGGCTGTGGGGCTGAGAGATCCCAGGCAGGGCTCCCAGGCCCTCTAGGCTGCAGCTCCTCCAGGGCGGGGCCACGTCTGTGTCCCCAAGGTCATCGCCCCTCCCCTCTCTCAGCTCACCCAATTCTTCCCGTCCCAAGACGCGAGCTGATTCAATTGGGGTCCAGGGAATGTGGCCCTGGGGGGACAGAGGCTCAGTGAGGCTTCAGTGGGCGCTATAAACTGAAGACCCGACGGAGGGGCGGCCTCTCCAGAAGGCCATGATGTCGGGGAGAGAAGCCACCAGGCCTTTGCGACAACGAAGCAGATCGAATTAGACCGTGCAGGCCCCCGAAGCCTGGCTAAACTTCTGCCTTTGGGTCCCCCGACATCTCCCTGGGTCCTCCCCATGAACCGTCTGCACAGTCAAGTGAAGTGCGATTTCTCCAACCCAGCAGCTGGGGCTGTGATGAGACACCCAGCAATCCCCTGTTCCGTCTCTTCTCTTAGCCTCTTCTGTTTTGCCAGGGTCCTTCCCAGGGGCTGGCACACCCGGGGCCACAGAACAGCAAGGGGGTTAGAACTGCCTCCTGTCACCGGAGACCTGTGATGTCTCAGTTTGCATCTGAATCACCTGGGCACTTCTTAAAAATGCAGATTCCTGGGCTCTGGCTCCCAGAATTCTGGCTAAGTGGGGACAGGGCCCAGGACGCTGCATTGAGTCGGGTACAAGCCTGAATGGGACACGGCTGAGGAAGTGCTCACTCACTCTTCACAGACAGGTATGTGGCAGCATGCCGGCAGCCTCTGAGGTGGCCCCAGTGACCCTGCCTGCTGGAGTCCACACCCCAGCGTGGTCCCCTCCCACACTGAATCATGGTGGCCTGTGTGGCTGTGACAATTCCCAACCCATGTCATGGAAGACACTGCAGCCCCTGCCACGGCTGCTCCTGGGGAAGCAGCTGCCGTGTGTGGGGAGGACACTGGAGCAGCCCTGGGGACAGCCCCACGTGGAGAGGAACCGAAGTTCCCAGCCCACAGCCAACACCGCCCTGCAGGCCGCAGGAGTGTGCCTTCTTGGACACGGGTCCTCCAGGCCCAGAGCAGCCCTGGCTGACAGCTCACCCGCCACCTCCGGGGAGACCGCCAGCCGGAGCCTGCCAGTAATTTTTCTATATATATTAGTTGGCCAATTAATTTCTTTCTATTTATGGTAGAGACGGGGTCTCGCTCTTGCTCAGGCTGGTTTTGAACTCTTGACCTCGAGCGATCCGCCCGCCTCGGCCTCCCAGAGAGCTAGGATTATAGGCGTGAGCCACCGCGCCCGGCCTGGTGTAATTTCTTATGTGGCAATAGGCGACTGATACCAGTGGCTACTACTCTGATCCTGTCCACCCTACGGATAAGGAAACTGAGTCTGATGGCCGGGCCCTAGATCACCCGATAGCAGAGACTCGAATCTCTGAGTTCAAAGCCAGTGCTCTGACACCCACGCCCTAGAGGGCCAGGGAAACTTTATCCCTCATCCACCTGGAGTGAGGAGTCACCTTGGCCAAGGTCACCCAGCCAAGCCCCACTGCTCTTGGGTTTCCATGCCAACACAATCTGGTGATTTGGCCTCTGGAATAGCCCTGCCCCACCCCCAGAGAGGCCAGTCCTCCGGGGCAGGTTTGGCTTTGTTCCTTCTCCAGGAGGCTCAGCAGGAAGAGCTAAACCAGGAGGAAGAGGAGGGCAGGCTGAGAAGCCAGGGGCCGGGTGCTGGCCTGGCTCAGGGCTGTGGTGGGTGGGGTGGGCCCTGCCGCCACCTGCTGGCTCACCATCTCCCCAGGCAGCTGGAACCTCCCAGCCTCCTAAAGATGCAAGTCTGGATGCAGCCACCTCCTGCCTCATACCCTCCATGGCTCCCCAGTGCCCTCAGGAGAAAGGCCTATTTTCCGCCATGCCCCAAGGGGTGTCACGATCTGGCCCCTGTCCCTCTTAAGACCTCTCTGCCTCCTACATCAGCTTCCAGTCTCCTTTGGAATGCCCCCAACACACCCCCAGTTCTTACTCCATCCCACCTCTTGCCTGCTTTCTCTGCATGCCTCCTCTGCTGCTCCTTTCTCTCATCAGCCTTCAGGTGTTGGCTAAGATGCCTTCTCCTCCAGGAAGCCTTCCAGGACCCCTCTGCTTGTGTTGTCTTGGCCCCTGTGTTTCCTCCACCAAAGCACTGAGCACACAGTAGGTACTCAGTAAGTGCTTATTAGCTGGGTGAATAGTTGCCCCTTGATCCAAACGTGCCTCCTCCTGGAAGGCCTGCCTGGCCTTCTCGCCCCCATTGGCAATCCCACATTTCTGTGTTTTTGCTGCACTTTTGCTCAAGGACAGTAACTGCAGACTCCATGTCACCACCAGAGCTGATGGCCCAGAGCCAGGGGGCGGCTGCTGCCTCCGGTTCTCAGGTGGCTTCTGGGTGCCAGATTCCGTTCCTGCCCCCATATCCCCCCCGGGGGCGGTGATGTCCTGGGGATTTCCAACCTCTGACCTCAAGAGCTGTAAACCAAGGGTCAAAGGGCCAGTCCTTGGCTTTCCTTAATGCAAATCTTTACAACCACCTTGGGAGGAAGGTGCCATTACTATCACCCCCACTTCACAGTGGGGGGAACTGAGACAGGGAGTGGTTTGGGCACTTGCCCAAGGCCACCCAGCCTTCAGAGGTGGGGCGAGTTGAAACCAGGCAGTGTGGCCACTGACTACCACCCTCCTCCTCTTCCCTGACTCTGAGGACAGGCCGGCCCGCCTGAAATGTCACCCTTTGTGGGTTGGCTCAGGAGCTCCGGGGCTGATGGGGGCTCTGGCCCTTACCCGCCACCACTGCAGGGGGCCATCCTGCTGGCTAGGGGCAATCAGTTATCCTAACTGGGGCCGGGGAGATAATGTTCAATTCCCACTGCAAGGACATGTGGAAAAACTGATGGATCGCAAGATTTCCAGACAAGCGGAAAGGTCTGTCTTGGGAGGCCACGAGGCTTTAGCTCATGGGTGAGTAATGTTAGTGCCATGAGAGTGTCAGAGACAATCTTGACATTATTGGTCAAAAAACTCCCCTCCTGCAGCCTGATGCACAGGGCGACTCACCAGCACGGGTTGGAAGACCCCCTCCACCCCTTACATACGATACAGCAGTAGTTACCAGGCTCCTATTTTGTGCCACGCCGTTCTTAGCATTTTACATGCACGATCATCCTTCATAATGCCCTTCTGAGCTGGCTGCTGTGATGACCCTATTTTACAGATGAGGAAACTGAGGCCCTGGAAATAGAACTGGGAAAGGGGTGATGCTACATTGGTCACCAGGAAGCCCCTCTTGGCACTTTCTCATCAGGAGGCCGGGGCACCAACTGCTCACACACTTGAAGGAGGTGGGCACAGCTTGTACACTGGTTGGCCTTAGGGCTGTGGCCTGTGGCCAAAGATTTGGGGACAGGGTGCAATCTTGACTCCTTAGAGTCTAACCTGCTTCCACCCTGCTGCACTGGGTAGAAAAACGAATTCCAATCCTTCCGTCTTTCTTTGCTGCAGCTGAGGCACAACATGCAGTGGCCAGCTCAGGTGCCCGCAGGGCCCAGGCAGGTGGCGCAGGTGAGGACCAACGCAGATCACAGGCACGTGCCCCGCCTGTCTACAGGCAGCCACTCCCAGCTGGCAGCTGTCACTCTGGAACGTGGGCCCAGCGTGGCGAGACCGCACTATTTCCAAGAGAAGCCAATAATCGTTATTTTTATGTGACATGGCCCCATATTTTAACGCTGGCAAACAATTTAGAAACTAGCTTTTAAAAAATACCATTTTGTGAAACACTCTGAGGGCCAGATGTGACCCCCACCCCGCACCCCCAGCTCCGGAACAAAGCAGCGCACACCGGAATTATTATACAATTCTGTATTTAGCGACTCGTTTACACAACGTGTTCCTTTTTTTAAAATTTTAAACAAAGTTCATCAATCTCTCATAGAAACGGTTTTGTGTGGGGTTTTTTTCTTTTTCTTTTTTTTTTTTAAACCGTTATAGGACGTGAACCTGACAAAGTTGTTCACAGGCCCGCGGCTTTAGGTACAACAGGATTTCTGTGTTCCAAAGACTAGACTAAGTGCTTCGTCAAATCCCGTCACACTGAAGCCAGACTTAGTTCTCTGGGGACTGGAGTCTGCGAGTGGCCCGGGCTCAGCGCCGTTGGAGCCAGCAGTAAGAAGTGGCGTGCTCTCCCACGCGCGTCTCAGTTGCAACATGGTGGCGGCTAAGAGGAGATGTTTCCTTTGTTCCAGATTTGATTGCTCTGAAAATTGGTCACTGTTTCCTAGTGTCAAAATATAAAAATACCTTCATCTGGATAAAAATGTATACAGTGGAAAACTCTTCAATGCATAGCCTGGGTGTCTGGAAAGGAGGTTTTCCTTCGGGGTTTGTGGTGGTGTTGAGTGTTTGGTGTGGAGATGGCAGGCTGGGCCGGGTGCTCGGCAGTCGGGATTTCTGGAACAGTCCTTTTTTCCTGCCCCCTTCTGGTCGCTGGGTTTTGCCCATGTGGTTTTAAAATGCTCGTTGCATCCCTGAAGCCCCCAGCGGCGGCTGTCTCTCCTCCCGGCAGGGACTGGCGCCCACCCTGGTGACCTTCTCATCTTCATCCCAGGGAGTCGCCCGTCAGCCTCCCCACGGAGGGTTTTGGGAAAACAACAAAAGCAAGAGAGCAAGAGTCAACAACCACGGCGGCAGCAGCGGTCCAACCGCTGGGAGCTCCCTCCCTGGGGCCTCCAGCAGGCGCTCGAGCAGGGGCTCCTCTGAGTCGGCCGAGCCCGGAGCCCCAGCAGGTCATGCGCGGGGAGGTGGGAGGGGACTTGGAGGCCGCCGAGCTGCAGTGGACGCGCCGCGACGGTCTCAGCCTCAGGGCTTCTGCACGGGCTGGAGTTGCAGGCGCCTTCCAGAAACAGCAGCGGGCCGCTTGAGGGGGTGCTGGGAAGGGGAGCCAGGGCCTCTGGTCTGATGAACCTACTTCTTGGCGCTGGCTGCCAAGCTTCAGTGTCCGTGGCGTGACAGACACTGTCACTTTCGGAGAAAGTAAGGAGGGGAAGATAGTGGCCACCTTGCTCTGGAAAGCACGTCTTGCCCTGGAAAGCCCATGCTCATACCATAGGGAAGCTTCCCGGGCTGAGAGACTCAGGCTGGGGAGAGAAGGGGGGCCCTGGCCGAGCGCCACTCTCCAAGCACCCGCCCCGAAGCCCAGCTTCTCAAAGGATCTGGAAACGCGTCTTGTCTCCCACTGGACAAGATGGATGTCCGACCTCCGCGGCCACGGTTCCTAACTAGAGGGGTGTAAGCAGTTTGTTCTGCACCATGCTACATCGCGTGTGGGACGGCCGGGCCACAGCCCACATCTCTACAACATTTACAACGGCCCGGGACGCTCTGTGCAGTCAGGGGTGCGACACAGACCACCAGAATGAAACACGTCCTCAACGGCATCCAGGTGTTCGTTTAGAGTCTTTCGGACTTTCTCTCCAGCTCGGCCTCTGGAGGGCAGTAGCAGTGCGCTGTGTCTCACAGACAGGAGTGGGGAAAACCGCGGTCCAAAGGTCATCTAAATTTTGGTCAGTCTTATAGTGTTTTGTGATGGCTTTGAACAATTGTCTTCTTTTAATCTCATCTAGTGGCAAAAAACGACACAACTTCAGTGTATACTTCGTAACAGTTGTGACAGCATCCTGATTTTATAACTCTCTGTAATATCAAAACAGCATCAGCTGGAAATAAATTCCAAAGGATCCTTTATTAAAATATCTAAAAGAGGTCTATAAATATTTATTTCTTTTTCTAAAAGAGTTTGGAGTTTTCAGATGAAAATGTGGCGGTATTTTGCTTCTGCCTCCTGCAGAAGGGTCAGGCTGGCGAAGGAGCAGGGTTCCTGGCACTCCCTGGGGCAGGCGTGCTGGCAATGGCATCCGGCCCACCTGTTCACTCACAACTTCATGGAACTAGGATGACAACAAAAACCGTAAACGGCATAACATTGCTGTCCACATATTGATGGTTGAGCTCCTCCCTCCCTCACCCCAACCTGTGTGGAGAGTGAGCGAGAGAAGGGAGGGAGTCACCGGGGTATGTCCCTCGCCCTCGCCCCTGCCTTCAGAACTCCCACTCCAGCGCCTCCTCCCGATTGGCAGCCCTCTCCAGTCGGTAGATGATGCTGTTCAGGTTGGCCATCTTCTCGTGCCGCCGCTGCAAGTTGGGGTTCACCTTAGCGCTGGGGTGCAAGGATCCGGCTGTGTCAGTGGTGGGGCTGGCACTCGGCACTTTGGCAGGGGGGGCGCCAGGTGGGGATGGGGAGATGGGGGCTGAGGAGGAGGGCACGGGTGACACAGACATCATGAGGCCTGGTGAGGAGGCGGCCGACGGTGAGTTCAGTGACACCTCCAGGCTGCAGCGTGAGGACTCCGAGGCTGACTTGAAACTTAGAGGGTCCGAGTGAAGCCGCTCCCTGGCCTCACTTTCCTGGGGGTGACACAGCGATGGGCAGTCTGGGGTGGTTCCGCATGGAATGAGGGGCCCTGGGGCCACTTTTGGGAGTCCGTTGTCACTCTTAGGGTCTGGATGCTCCTCTTTGGGGGGACCGTGGCCTTTGTCCGGCTCCCCTAAGTCCTGGGGCTGGCCGCCCACCTCCTCCTCCTCCTCGGCGTCCTCCTCCGTCTGCTCCTGCTTGATCGTCACTTGGTCCGCGTCCTGGGCGGCCGGGGCTGTGCTGCTCTCCTCAGAGCCCCCCTGCAGCTCCAGCTCCTTCACGGTGGGCTTCTGGTCCTCAGCCTCAGAGTCGGGGCTCTGCGGGGTAGGGTCCGGGTGGGAGAGTCCTGGGGGTAGGATGCCAGGACCCCCACTCGGGTCGAGGTCTGGCTCGTCCTGGGTCCCCTCCACCAACATCTCCCGGCGCATTCGGGACCTGAGGCAGAGACGGCGGTGAGCCTGTGGCTGGACGGGAACCCCCCTAACCCTGGACTCAACCACCATGAGTGGCATCTGGCTCCACACACTGCCCGGGGCCTCACCAGGCACCAAACCTCTAACCTGCACCATCGACAGCCCTACACGGTGGGCGCCATTACTATGCTCACTTCACAGGGGAGGAAACGAGGCTCAGAGATGTTGACTTGTCCCAGGTCACACAGCTAGTAACTAGCGGACTTGAACTCAGGGCTATGGGATTCCAAAGCTCATGGTCTAGACCTGTGCTGTCCGGCACAGCAGCCGCTGTGGCCAGTCCAAACTGAGATGTGCTGTGAAGGTACAACTCACACTGGATCTTAGGTTCAATAATAAATAAAGTAAAATATCTCATTAATAATATTTTTATATTGATCACATCTTGAAATGGTTATATTTGGATATATTGGGCTAAATAAAATATACTATTATGATTCATTTCATCTGTTTCTTTTTTTAATTTATTTTTTGATGTGGCTACTAAGAAATTCAAAATCACATGTGGCTTATATTTTTAATGGACAGCAGCATTCTAGAATATTTCTCAAAGTCAAACCCTGATTTATTTTTGTGGCAACAACTCCCTGCTTCTTTCCTGGAGGGACTCTCAGACATCAGCCCAGACAGGGAAACTGGGGCATGGGGAGTTACCTGCCCAGGTTGCTGTAGCACACAGGGGCAGAGCTGGGACCAGAGCCTGGGTACCCCAAATTCCCAGAACCCCCTCCCTCCTCTTAACCTCAATGGCCTCCCTGCTGTCGGAGGGAAACTCAAGCCCGTAAATTATATTTTAGAGTGGCTCAAAAAACATTTAACAAGTGAAATGATGTTTTCTATAATTGCAGCTCTTAGAGTTGTTTCTTTTGAGAATAGAATTCTTAAATTCTCTGCTTCTTGGTGCAAACTCCTATTCATTCTTCAAAACCCAACTCAAATGCCGCCTCTTCTGTAAAGTCTTCCCCAGGCAGAATTCCCTTTTCCCCTGGCCCCTTGTTCTTTCCTGTTGTACAGCATCTATGAGGTTATAGTGAAATGATCTGGTTCGTGACTGTAAGATCCTTAAGGGCAGGGCTGATGGCTTTGAACCCCTGTATCTCCAGACCCTGGCTCATGGTGCATATGTCAGAAATGTTTGTTGAATGAACATGTTGGTTAATAATGGAGTGCTCAGTTCCTATGTGGAATTAGAAAGATGTCCCCATGTCCCTCCGGGAGGGAAAGAAGTGAGAGGGTTTTAAGGACCTATGTCATTGGCTCTTTGGCAGGCTCCGCTCTGAGTCAGACAGTAGGCCACATTTTATAATGTGTTTACACCCAAAATTCTTTCATTTGGCCCACAGTCCAGTATTGTGGGACAGGTGTCAGATGTCTCCTCTGCAAAATAAGGACGAAACTCATGGGAGTAAAATGACTTGCCCGAGGCCACACAGCTGAGGGGGAACTTAAATTCGGGCCGGTGTGATGCCAACGCCCAGGCTGCGCAGAAAGGAGATCCTGGGCACGCCACCCACCAATCTCTTTGCCCCTCTCCCTTGGGCATCAGGGACCTTCCCTCTGCCTGTGGAACGGACAGTGGACTCTCCTCTCCGGTACCATGTGGGCAGCAGAGGCGCTTCCTGCTTAGGAAGCGGGGCGTGGGGGTGCCTCAGAGTTGGTCCCACAATTTCCTCCCTCAAGCCTGTGCACTGGGGTCTCCTCAGCTGGCCCTCAGGGAGCCCCTCTGCGGTCCCCACAGAGCCAGCCCTGGGACTGAACTTCTGGGAAGCCCAGCTGACTCAACCTGGTGAGTGGGGACAGCTATGGGGACAGGTGGCCACAGAGGTAGAATCATCCACTCCTTGAGGTGGGTGGAGCCCGGAGAGAAAGGGGGTCCTCTGGCCTCAGGAGTGGGAGGGGCCGGGGGCCCCAAATCAGGGCTCCAGCCTCCACTGAGGCTCAGTGGGCAGTTCAGGTTCCTCAGGCCTGTGCCCCAGACACCTTCATTCCCTGTCCCTTCGTACAGGCAGACTCAGACTGTGCTGGGTGACAAAATAATAAAAGTGACAACAGTAGTAACATAGACCCCACCATGCACCACATGCCAGGTGTTTCATGTCAATGTGTTAGTTCTAAATATGTTCTGGAAGCTCTACGAAGCAGATCCCGTGATCATCCCATTTTATAGCTTAGAACACTGAGGCTCAAGGGAGTGAAGTGATGTGCCCAGGGTCCCACAGCTGGAGGTGATGGGGCTGGGATTTGTCCCAGCCTGGCCTACGTTCTAACCCTAAACACTCATGTGACTACCTGCCACCCCTGGGAGGCCGTGCAGGGCTCCCTCTGGGCCCTGGGGCGGGAGGGGGTCCAGCCCAGACGCCGCCCACCCGGAGAGGCGCCCGCAGCCCCACCTGTAGTTGTGGAACCAGTTGATGACGGTGTTGGTCTTGAGGTTGAGCTGGAAGGACAGCAGCTCGATGGTCTGCTGCGAGGGGTAGGGCTCCAGCTGGTAGGCCTTCCGCAGCGCCTCCTTCTCCTCGGGCGCCAGCACCACGCGCGGCTTCTTGATCTGCAGCAGGCTCAGGTCCTGCGGCTGCAGGCAGGGGCTGGGGCACTCGGAGCGGGTGGCCGGGGACTCGCTGTCCGAGCCGGTGCTGATGAGGCCATAGCGGCGTTTCAGGTAGGCTGGGGCGGGGAGGCAGGGAGGGCTGAGAATGGGCCACCGTCACTGCCACCAGTCCCGGCCAGTTCCACCCACAGGCCTCCATGCCCCCAATCTTTGGGGCCTGCTCCTCCTGCTAATTTATTTTTTTATTTTATCTGAGACAGAGTCTTACTCTGTTGCCCAGGGCTACAGTGCCACAGGTGTCAGCCTAGCTCACAGTAACCTCAAACTCCCAGGCTCATGCAATCCTGCTACCTCGGCCTCCCTAGCAGCTGGGACTACAGGCATGCGCCATCATGCCCGGCTAATTTTTTCTATTTTTGGTAGAGATGGGATCTTGCTTTTGCTCAGGCTGGTCTCGAACTCCTGAGCTCAAACAATGCAGCTGCCTCAGCCTCCCATAGTGCTAGGATTACAGGTGTGAGCTACTGCACCTGGCCTCCTCCTGCTAATTTAAATGACTCATTAACTGCATGATGCATCTCGACCCCCCAATCATTAAGATGTGATAAAAGCCCACATCAGAATGAAAGAAGTTATTAGGGTCTCATTTAATCCTCACAGCAATGCCCTGTGATAAATGCTATTGACTCTTATTTTCAGATGAAAGAGGAGGAGGCACAGAGAGGGCAAGTAACTTGCCCAAGGTCACACAGCCAGGAAGTAACAGGCCAAGTTCTCAGCTGCAGAGTTGTCTGGTGACAGTGACCCAGCCATGCTCAGCCTGTGTGCTCCTCATAACCTGGCTGCCCCTGGGTCCTCACATGAGCTACCTTCTTACCCCAGATGATGACTTCAACTATTCCTATCTCCCGACTGGGCTCTGGGCTTTTTAAGATATAGGAATCCCTTCTGCACAGTAGGTGCTCAATGCCAGCTCATTTTATCAGGACATAAGATAACATCAGAATGCGAGAAACTGCAATCCGTGCCCACCCCTACAAGGGAGGGTTCTTGTTTGCTGGGTCAGTTCCGTCCTTTGTCATGTAGAATCTGCGTAATGGGTGACAGGTAATCTATGTCACAGGCAGTAGTGGCAGAGGAGGGAGAGGGCAGAGAGAGAGTGTTTGGGGGAACATGCAGCTGGGGTTGGCAGAAGACTCCGCAGCAATGGGGGTGTGGAAGGATGCTAAGACGGACGCATGGGAGGCATAGCGAACACTTTAATTGCTTTCAATCAGAGTGTTCTTCGGGATTAATCATTTCACGCAGTCCCATACCAGGCACGGACTGGACCACTGGGGCCCTGGGTTTATTTGGGTTATAACTAGATATGGTTCTAAGGGGGAAATCTGAGGCCAGACCCAGAGTCCCTGGTGCTGGGGCCCAGCCCTGCCCAAGTCTTACCTTTCTTCTCCAGCTTCTTCATGTCCCGCAGCTTCTCCACGTTGTGGGGGTCACTGAGCCACAGCTGCATGCGGACAAAGGGCTCCCGCCCCTTCAGGCTCAGCTTGTGCCAGGGTTTGGGCCGGGACAGCAGGTCAGACACGGAGCCCTGAGTGAGGCCCAGGATGCTCTCCCCAAACAGCCGCTGACCTGGGGGCAGGGGAGGAGGGCAGCCTGTCACCCCAGCAAGGAACAGGCCAGAAACACAGGGGAGGCCCGAGCAGGTGTCTCCGCTGAGAAGCGAAGGGCGAAACCTGGGGAGCCCACCCCCAGTGTGAATCTGATGGGCACGTGTCTGCCAAGGAGATTCTGGGGGCGGGATTAGGCAGCAAGCAGCAAAAGTGTTTCCTTCGACTTAAGAGGCTCTTCATTCCTAGGAGATCTCTGAAACTGTTTTCAAACTTCATGCATACAAATTTGTGTCACCATGTTAGAGAATAATCTGACAGATTCTATCAAAATTTTAGATGTGCAGAACCTCTGATCCTGCAGTTCCCCTGCAGGGTTTGTCCTAGAGCCAGCCTTGCCCAGGGCACAGCGAGGCAACAGGCACAGTTTCAAAGGCAGCAAGAAATTGGAAATGACCAAAATGCCCGTCACTTGGGTAAAAAACTGTGGTGCATCCATGGTCTGAAACACCTTATAACAGTGAAAAACAATGTGGCCGATATAATAACTTTAATGTGGAAGGGTATCCACAAAATAGTGTTCATTTTTCAAAAGCAACACTTTGAAATAGTATGTGTATAATTTCACCTGCATAGAAAAAAGAAGAAATTACGTATATATATATTCCTGTATGTGTTTGGAAAGTGGCAAAGGTATATTAAAAACTGGAATGTGATTGAGAAGTGGGAGGCGATTTATTTACTTATTTATTTATTTGAGACAAAGTCTCGCTCTGTTGCCCGGGCTAGAGTGCTGTGGCATCAGCCTAGCTCACAGCAACCTCAAACTCCTGGGCTCAAGCAATCCTCCTGCCTCAGCCTCCCAAGTAGCTGGGACTACAGGCGTGTGCCACCATGCCTGGCTAATTTTTTTTCTATTTTTGGTAGAGATGGGGTCTTGCTCTTGCTCAGGCTGGTCTCGAATTCCTGAGCTCAAATGATCTGCCCGCCTTGGCCTGCCAGAGTGCTAGGATTACAGGCGTGAGCCACCGTGCCTGGCCTATTTACTTACTTTCAAACTTTTTTCTCTCCTCTACTATTTGGTATTTTAAAACAGTGATCACATCATATTTTTAGACTAGAAATTATAGTGGGTGATGTGGGGTTTGCACACATCCCTGGGGGACGGGGGACATAACCTGCATCTAAGGCTTCGAGGAGTCTGTGATCCCAAAGGAGAAGAGCCCTAGAACGTGTTTCTCCGCCGAGTCCCCGGAGGGCAAGGACCTCAGCACCGGGTGAGGACTGCGCTGGAGCCTCAGTGACTGGGATTCTCTGAGTCCTCCTGGGAGGACCTTACGAGAGCTACAGGCTGAGAATTCCAAGTCCTGTCAGACCTGCATTCACTTGTTTGTCCCATCCCAGACCCAGGTCAGAGCCAGAGCCTCTCACCGGGTCCCGGATGCCTGGGGGCTGCCCAGCACCCCTAGGCTGGACTGCGCTGTCCTGCGGTCTCAAAGCAAGTGGAAGCCACCGAGGCGGGAGGAGCATTTCTGATTCCTGCCACTCCGTACCTAGGTTGTTGTCGGTGAGGACCTCTTTGACCCTTTTGGTGATGGAGTACGTGTCCAGCTCTGGGGACATGGCCACAATCTCCTGGATGCCCCCTGTGGCCTGGCCGCCCGAGTACACCTTCCCGCCCAGCGAGGCACCGGGCCGGCCCTCCGGCTGCTGGTTCTCCTTGCTGCTCTCCAGTGACAGGCTCAGGGGCTCCTGGGAGCTCTTCTCGGGCTCCGTGGGACTGGGGGGTGGCGACGGTGAGGGTCTTGGTTCCGTGGGGCTGGCTGTGGGCCACAAGAGGAGGAGAAGGCGGTTACTGCCAGCTGGCGTGGACACGCGTGGTTTGGGAAGGCTTGCCTGTCACAGCCAAGTCAGGGCCACGTGCTCAGCCCACCACCTCCTCAGGCGTCAGTCACCCACAGGTGGGAGCTGAGCATCCTGACAAACCGGCCAGGGCAAGGGACATGCCTGGGTGGTGCCTGACGCACAGGAGAGCACGGGGAGAGTGTCTCGGAGCCCCCAGCACTGGCTGCTTCTAATCCCGGCAAGTTAGAAAAAGGTGCCACTTTCTTGAGGCATTCACCTGCCACCTGCTGGAAATTCGTAAAACAAACATAAAAACGTAGCTAGCTAGACGTGAAGGGAGCAGGGGCTTTGCTTCCGGAAGGGACATCCGAGCCCCCAGTGTGTCCTTCCTTCCCTGCGGGAGGCGAGCGGATCAGTCGCATCAGGCCACTCCCACGCTCCCCACTGCCACCTGCACGCAAACGTCTGCCTCCTCGTCCTGGTATCGAGGCTCTGGACCCTCGTCCCCGCCCCTCCCCAAGACTGGAGCTACACTGAGTCCCCTCAACACACAGCCAGGGACCTTCTAAAGCGCCCATGTCTTTCCTCTGGCTGGTCTGCCACCTTGAAGGCCTTCCTTCTAACCCTGAACTCCTGTGCATCCTTCAAGACCCAGTCCCAGTCTCTCTCCTCTGAGGGGCACTTTGGGTTTAAGAGCACCTTGACTCACTGTCACACTTCACCGCAATTCCTTGCTTGGGCCAGATTTCTTCCTTATGAGATGACAAGAATGACAAGGATGATGGCAACGACAATACTAAAGCTTCCTTTTATTGGACACTTACTACGTGCCCAGTGGAGTGTTACGAGACGTGTTTATGCCCATGATCTCAAGAGACCCTTATAACACCTCTAAGAAGCGTGTGCTACCATCCCATTTTATAGATGAGAAAACCAAGGCTCAGAGAGGCTATGCAACATGTCTAAGGTCACACAGCAAAGCCAGGACTTGAGCTCAGGTCTGCTTATGCCCAACACTGTCCTCTCATCCATCAACCATGAGCCCCTCAAAGGCAAGGACCATGTGGCAGTCACGGGTGAGTCCCCAGGACCTGAGGAGGCAGGAGGTGCTGGGCAGATGCCTGTTGAGTGAGCACATTTCAGCCAGGACCCGAGTACCCTTGAGAGGTCCACAGTGAAGCCGAGAAGTTCTGAGTAGTAGCATTGCAGTCCATGTGACTGGCGGCCCGCATCTGGGGTCCCCAGAACTCTATGGTCCCCTCCCCCACTCCCTGCCTGAGTTGGGCTGATCCTCCCATGCAGGTGGCATCCTGCGTGACACTGGAGCTGACATGGACATGTCCCACCCTCAAAGGTGCAGAGCCGGCGGGCAGGGCCAAGGCGAGAGGCTGCTTCCCGCCTCTGGAGTCGAGGGTCTTCGAGGCGCCCGCTCGCTGGCAACCCCCCACACCGCCTCCCCGCGCACAGGGCCAGGCTCCCTGGCAATGCTCTGTCCCGGGCGAAGCAGAGGGGTGGTCACGGTAGAGACAGTGAGAGAGGCACAGAGTGACAGAGACGGGGAGACAGAGGGGTGGGACGAAGCAGCAGAGAGATGGGGGAGACAGGAGGGCCTGCTCAGCTGCTGAGGGCTCTCGGGAGGAAGTGGCGGGCACGCCGACGCCAGCCGCTGCGGCGGGAATGAAACCGGCCACACGCTGCGACGGGACGAGCCCTGAAAACACGTTCAACGAAGGAAGCCAGACGCAAAGGCCACATCTTGGATGCTTCCATTTACATGAAACATCCCAGGTAAGTACATGCACAGGGACAGGGCGGGGATTCGGAAGCTGCCAGGGCCGTGGGGAGGGAGGACGGGACGTGACTGCTTAAGGGCTGTGGGTTTCCCTCTGGGTGGTCGAACTCTTCTGGAATTAGAGAGAGGCGGCGTCCGACAGTATTGTGAATGTAATAAATGCCACTGAATTGTACACTCTAAAAATGGCTAAAAAGGTAAATTTCATGTTAGGTGAATTTTCCCACAATAATGAAATTAATTAGTTAAAATACAACACAGGAGAAAAGGACGAAAGCCCGCTCCCCGCCGGGCACTCACCCTGCGCGGCGCTGGGCTGCTGCGCCCCGGCCTGGCCCAGCTGGTCCGACAGCCACAGCTGCATGCGGATGAAGGGCTCGCGCCCCTTCTGCGTCAGCTTGCTCCACGGCTTCGGCCGGGACAGCATGTCGCTCACGCTGCCCTGTGACAGGCCCAGCACCTGTGGACAGGTGGCGCAGGCAGGGGAGGTGAGCAGGCCCCTGGCACCCTGGGCCACTTCCCTGCCCTCCCTGGGGGCCACACTGCCTTTGTCCATCCCTCACACCCCAGGCGCCTGCGTGAGCCTGTGCTGTGTCCACGTGTCCGTGCCCTTCCCGGCATCTAGAGTGTAAAAATCCTTCCCAGCCTTTCAGTCCTCTCAAGGGGCCCCTCCTCCAGGAAGCCTTCCATGCCTCCCACTTAAGTCGCTTCCTCCTCTGAGGGTTCCGACCCCTTGCCTGTTCCCCTGCTAAGGGCGGAGGTGACAGTGAAAACGGACACTCCAGTGGCACCAACCCATGAGGACACTGGCTGGGCTGAGCCCTAACTGTCTACTGGCTGGACCCTGGGAGGAGCAGAGGGCCCTGGAGGACTCCAGAGAGTGGCTGTTCATGTTAACAACAGCAGGACTGAATGCCACCTTGCCACGGCCCTCCTTCCCCCGGGGCCAGGGGGCTGCCGGACACAGGAGAGCGGGCCTGGCTCCCCCCGCCCGCCCCCGCTAACAACAGCAGGACTGAATGCCTGCTGTCACGGCAGGCATTCAGGTCACTGAATGCCACCTTGCCACGGCCCTCCTTCCCCCGGGGCCAGGGGGCTGCTGGACACAGGAGAGAGGGCCTGGCTCCCCCCGCCCGCCCCCGCCATCACCTTCTCCCCGAAGATGCGCTGGCAGATGCCGTTCTTGGCCAGCTTCTCCTTGACCTGGCGGGTCAGCTCGAGCGTGTCCACCTCGCGGTACATGTACAGCTCGTACTGCTCGGGCGTCAGGGGCGGCACGGTGGGCTTCAGGGTGCGCGGCACGTAGGCTGGGTAGTAGGCCAGCCGCCCTCCGCCCGCCTCGGGGACGCCGCCCTCGGCCTTGGGCTCGCCCACCCTGGGGGGCTCCTCCTCGCCCCCTGCTGTCTCGTCCTCAGTGGCCGCTGGGGCGTCGTCCCCACGAGGCCAGGCACGCCCGTTGGGCTGGCCGGAGTAGCCGGAGGAGGAGGAGGACAGTGAGGGCGACACAGAGGCGTAGGGGCGGCTGAGCAGGCCGCGGTCCGAGGCCCAGTGGTGGTCGAAGTAGCCGGCGTCGCCGATCTCGGACTTGACTTTGCGGATGATGCTCTGCACGAAGGCGGCCGGGGACAGGACGGTGAGGGGCGTCTGCGCAGCCCCGACGCCCGCGCCCGCACTGCCGTCCTCCTGCTTGACGTGGGCCGGGGCCCCGTTCTGGCTCCCGGCCACTAGCGAGGGCCGCTCCGGGGGCGAGGGGGGCACTGAGCGGCCACGGGGACCCGCCTCCATCTCCAGCAGGGCCTGCTGCTGCGCCTGCATCTCACGGCGCGCTTGCTCCAGAATGTTCTTGATGGCATCTTCCGAGGTGTTGGCGGAGGCCGTGCCGTTGGTGATGCCCAGTGGGGCCGACAAGTTCTTGGGCTCACCTGCAAGGGGAGGATGACAGGTGGCCGGGGGGCCATCGTCAGGGCTCAACTTGAGGGACAAAGATGTTCATGGCATCAGTATTTATACCAGCGAAACGCTGAGGCGACCTGTGTCCAACAACTGGGGACCGGTTAAGTGAATTACGTTGCACCCACGTGGCAGAATATTAGGCAGTCACCAAAAGTCAGGTGTGGTGAGATTCTTAGCATATGCGGAGAACGTGCACATGGGGATGACATACCGCAAAAACACACGTGCCTTCTACATACGCTGTGATCCAATTGTGCAGACGTTCAAAAACAAGGTGGACACTACAGCACATAAAAGAGGCTTCTTATTCTAACAGCAGAATCATGGCATGAACCCAAATTCCCAGGGACAGGAGAGAATGAATAATACATAGTGTTATGGCCACACAATGGAACTAAAAAAGACATCTTCACATAAAACCATACATAAACCTTTTTTTCCTTTGAGATGGGATCTCACTATGTTGCCCAGGCTGGAGTGCAGTGCTATTCACAGGCATGATCGTAGCACACTGCAGCCTTGAACTCTTGGGCTCAAGAGATCCTCTTGCTTCAGCCTCCTGAGTAGCTGGGATGAAGGCATGTGCCACCATGCCTTTTGCATGAAGCTTTTAAAAAAAAATTTCAATACATTTAGGGAGTACAAGTGGTATTTTGTTACATGGATGAATTGATGGTATGTATAGTGGTGAAGTCAGGACTTTTAGTGTACCTGTCACTGTCACTGGAATAGTATACGTTGTACCTGATAGGTAATTTCTGATCCCCCACCCACCCACCTCTTTGAATGAATCTTAACAACATACTATGAAAAAGGCAAGTCCCAGAAGATGACACACAGTATAACATATTTTCTTTTCTTTTTTTTTTTGATTTGGGGTCTGCTCTGTTGCCCAGGCTAGAGTGCTGTGGCTTCAGCCTAGTTCACAGCAACCTCAAACTCCTGGTCTCAACTGATCCTCCTGCCTCAGCCTCCTGAGTAGCTGGGACTACAGGCACATGCCACCAGACCCAGCTAATATTTTCTACTTTTAGTTTTCCAGCTAAGTTCTTTCTATTTTTAGTAGAGAGTGGGTCTCGCTCTTGCTGAGGCTGGTCTTGAACTCTTTTTTTTTTTGAGACAGAGTCTCGCTTTGTTGTCCAGGCTAGAGTGAGTGCCATGGCGTCAGCCTAGCTCACAGCAACCTCAAACTCCTGGGCTCAAGCAATCCTGCTGCCTCAGCCTCCTGAGTGGCTAGGACTACAGGCATGCACCACCATACCTGGCTAATTTTTTCTCTATATATTAGTTGGCCAATTTCTTGGCCAACTAATTTCTTTCTATTTATAGTAGAGACGGAGTCTTGCTCTTGCTCAGGTTGGTTTCGAACTCCTGACCTCGAGCAATCCAATCCGCCCACCTCAGCCTCCCAGAGTGTTAGGATTACAGGCATGAGCCACCACACTCAGCCTAGAACAAAAATTTAGGATGAAAGCTATCTTTGGGAGAGGAGGCAGGGGTGGGAGGGAGGAATGGGGAGGGACAAATGCCAGAAGATCTAAGTTATTGTGAATTTTCTAAATGTTGGGTTGGGCAATAGGTTCCCAGAGGTTCATTCTGTTATTTAAATGAACAAATGAATGAATATGTCAATATACACACAGGCTGTGTAGGGAACAACTACACAGTGTATCATGAACCAAGGATAGTGTGATCAGTACCCTGAGGAATGACAGCTAATTAGTAAATGAAAAGGCACATCCTCCTGCCCTCTTAGTGGCCTCCCCTGTGCTGGGGTCCCCCAGTCCTGGACCAAGCCAGATCACTGCGACCCTTTCTCCCCCATCTCTTTGTGTAGTTTCCATCCTGGCGGGCCCTCACTGACCCATTCAAAATAATTTTTATTGTTTTTCCAATTAAAAAAGTAACACAGCCAGGTGCAATGCCTTGAGCCTGTAGTCCTAGTTACTCAGGAAGCCATCGTGGAAGGATTGTTTGAGCCCGGGAGTTTGACGCTTCAGTGAGCTATGGCCACACCACTGCACTCCGGCCTAGGCAACAGAGCGAGACTTTGTCTCAAAAAAAAAAGTCTGTTAATTTTGTTATGTGAATTTTACCTCAATTAAAAAAAAAAGTCCTACTTGCCTATTGTGGAGAGCACAAAAAAAAGCACAAAGTTCAGATAAAAATAAAAATTCCCCTAATCTCTCTCTCCCAGAGGCAACCACACGAAACACTCTCATGTATCTCCTCCCAGCTGCTTTCTACGCTGCACGCAGAGCACAGTGACAGGGACCTGTGGAAGTGTAGCCTGGCTTGTCCACACTCAATATTCACACAAGCATTCTCCCATCTCTAAAAGTGCTTTCCTCTCTAATGGCCAATGGCAAATCCCCCACTGCTGGTCACTTAGGTTGTTTCTGGTCTGTCACTGTTGTGAACAACAGTACAGGAATGGCTTGTTTAGAGATCTCTGTCCTCATTCTGGACATGTCCTTTGATCCCAGAAGCAGAGGTCCCGAGTCACAGTCAGCACGTTCACTTCCTCCCCGGGTTTCCTAACGGGCCTCCTGCTTAGCGTGTGCTTTGCCAGAACTCTTCACAGAGCCTCAGTGCCAACCACCGGTGGGGCCACCTGAGGCAAACACTGTCCTCTGCTGGGACGGAGCCCTTTGCACTTCCCTGCTGCCTGTTTGTCATCCCCCCACTAGGGGGAAAGCACTGCACGGGCGGCAGGAGACCTGGGTTTTCCTTCTGTCTTTGTGTAGTGGTGAGCTCACGTCTCCCCTCTCTGGCCTCGGTTTTCCTGTCTGTTTAGTTGGAGAATTAGACTAGATTGTTTCTCATGGTTCTTTTCACCCCAATTTCACGTCTCAACCAGATCTGTTACCCATGTCTAACACATAGTAGGAGTTTAACAGATGTTTATTGTATTATTACATCTCTGTCTTTTTTTTTTTTTTTGAGACAGAATCTCACTGTGTTGCCTGGGCTAGAGTGCTATGGCGTCAGCCTAGCTCACAGCAACCTCAAACTCCTGGGCTCAAGCGATCCTCCTGCCTCAGCCTCCCGAGTAGCTGGGACTACAGGCATGCACCACCATGTCAGGCTAATTTTTTCTATTTTTAGTTGTTTGGCTAATTTCCTTGTATTTTTAGTAGAGATAGGGTCTCGCTCTTGCTCAGGCTGGTTTCAAACTCCTGAGCTCAAGCAATCCTCCTGCCTGGGCCACCCAGAGTGCTAGGATTACAGGCAAGAGCCACCGTGCCCGGCCTCTCTCTGTCTTGCACTGGGGCTGACCAAGAAGGAAGGAACTGTACACTGTAGGGCTTCAGATTACATGGGTGGGGCAGTGTAGGCTCCCAGCAGGTTAAATCCCTTGTCCCCTGCACCTCCCAGGGACCAGGCAGGAGAGAGGGCCACTGGGAAAGGAGGTGGCACCGGCCACAAGCAGAGGTAGCTCAGGAATTGGAACACCTGCTCGGAGCAGCCACCAGAGGGCAGCGGGCACTGCAAGGTGGAGCGCAAGCACTGAACCAGCGTCCACGTTCTAAGCCAGCCGCTCACAGTGCGGAGCTTCGCCATGCCAGGTTTGAAGATGCAACGCAGCCCCTGGCTGCAAGAAGCCCCAAGACCAGTGGGAGGGACAGCCACACCAGCACAGTCATTTGTAACAGCGCAGACTGAAACAAGAGATGTAATAATAATAATATTCACTGTAGTAACACTGTTCCTTCAGGAGCACCTCCTAAGTACCCTGCCAGGCCCGGTCTCATTTGATTCCCACACACACGACCTTAAGAGTGCCAATGCTGTTCCCATTTTAAAGATGAGGAGATGAAGGCACAGGGACACTGAGTAACTTGCCCAACGTCACACAGCTAACAAGCAGCAGACCAAGATGTGCAGCCAGTCTGGCTCCACTGTAGCAAGCATGTAGCTAATCGTCGGGGGACCAGGGAGGGGCAGCATCCAATCAATCTAGGGAGGTGGGGGCTCCCTAGAGGAGGTGACTTCTGAGTTGAGTCATAGTGTCCGAGCAGGAGTTGGCCAGGTGAAAGGTGTCCGGGCAAGGATGGTATCAGAGGTGCAGGGAGCAGTTGCAGAGGCTTGCCCTATCAACAGGCAGGTGCGGGGTGCAGAGGCAGGCCCAGGAGGGGGCTGGGTACAGGGCCTAGAGGTGTTGATGGTAAGTTGGGATTTTATCTTGAGGGCAGTGGGGAGCTGCAGCAGGACTCTGAGCAGCGTCACGACCACGCGTGTGCTCTAGAAAGATCCCACCAGGCCTCTGGGGGTGCTGATCTGCATAGAATGCCCTCTGGGTAGACAAAGGTAGAGGAGGCCTGGCCTCCTGCTCTGGGCAGGCGCTGGGGCCCTGCCACCTTGCTGGCCAAAGCCATACTCACCCCCCTTCTGTGACTCGATCTCCTTCTTGGCCTGCTCCAAGATGCTTTTGATGGCATCGTCCGAGCCCGTCTCCGGTGTGCGGATCCTGGGGGTGATACTGCCTAGGGGAGGCAAGAAGGCATCTGTCATGAATCCGCATGTAGGGGGCCTGTCATTGGAGCAGGGTGGGGTGGGGGCTGTTTCCTTCCTCCTTGAGGGGCGCCAGGGCCAGGAGAGTGAGCGTCAGACCATCAGCGAGTGTGGCAGAGCCACTGCTCAGTCTGTGTGACAAACTGTGGACCTACAAGAGAGGCTAGCCTGAAACAATAAGGAAATAATGACGACGATGACAATGACAACCACCAAGACTAACAGCTCTCAAGCAGTTACCATGTGCCAGGTGCTCTGGTCAGTGCTTTGTACCCACTTAATCCGCATGGCACTGCCAGAGGCTGACAGATGGGGAAACTGAGGCACAGGGCAGCTGAAGTGGGTTGACTGAGGTCATCCAGTGGGTGGGTGGCAGAGCTGAGGTTCAAAGTGAGGTGTTCGTGAGGGCAAAGCCAGGACCCTTCACAGCGATTACCCTAAAAGGCAGGTCTGGCCAGGCTGGTGGTGGCCCGGGGCCATCTCAAAATGGGCAGGCTGAACTTCGCAGGTCTTTTCCCGCCATCACCAGGCCCAGCTGCCCAGGGGGGGCTGGGTGGGGAGGCAGCACAGCCACAGGCCCTGGGACGGAGGGGGCAAGGATGTATTTCCTTCTTTTATAGAGGGGGAAACTGAGGCACAGAGAAGCAAGGCCACTTGTCCCAGGTCACATGGTTGGGTGGTAGTGGAGCTGAGCTTTGAACCCAGAGCTCATGCCCTGGACCTGGCCACGATGGCCAAGCCTGAGTCCCCCCACGTGGGGACAGGTCCTCAGCCCGCTCTCACCTCGCTGCCGCACCTGGATGGTCCTCAGAGCCAGCACGTTCTGCTCATCCGACAGGAACTGCTTCATCTTGATGAAGGGCTCCTTGCCCTTCACCGTGAGCTTGCGCCATGGCTTGGGCCGGGCCAGGATCTCGCTGACTGAGCCCTGCGACAGCCCCAGCACGTAGTGGCCAAACACCCGCTGCCCGATGTTGTGTTTGAGCAGCTGCTCCTTCACCTGGAAGGCGATCTCTGCTGTGTCCAGCTGCTCTTCCTCCGTCCCGGCCCCGGCCGTGCTGCCCCCGCCACTGTCTGCAAGTTCGGGGCACCCGGGTGGCTCGGGGCCAGGGGCTGGGGTGGCGGGGGCCGTGGGGGGCTTGGCGCCATAGAAGGCAGGAGGGAATGCCAGCAGGCTGCCCGCCTCTCCCTTGAAGGTGGCCGGGGGCATCATCGGTCTCTCCCCTGGGGCCAGGCCAGGGAAGGGGGACAGCGAGAAAGTCCGAGGGCCGTCGGGCCCCAGGCCAGGGCCCAGCAGGGGCTGCCCAGGGCTGGGGGACAGGGGATCCTCCGGCCCCGGGGGAGGTGGGAGCTGCTGCGGGGAGGGGTAGGACTGCTCCGTGCTCAGCGAGTCCTTGATGGAATCGTCCTCCGAAGGGTCTTCCTCTAGAGCATGGAGAGAGACAGACAGACAGACAATGGAGAGAGAGAGAAATGAGAAAGACAGAGATGGGGAAACAGAGAGATAATGTGAGAGACAGAGAGATGGAGAGACAATGAGAGCAACAGAGATGGGGAAACAGAGACAGAGAGAGTGTGAGAGAGACAGAGACACACACGCGTAGAGACAGAAATTCAGAGATGGGGAGGAGGAAGACGGGGAGGAGGGGATGGGGAGGAGTGCTATAGGCGTCCACAGCTGGAAGTGCCACTACGGGCTGTTTCTGCCCCCACACACCCCTCAGTTCTCGAGCCCCAGACTTCCAGGCTGGTCCACACGCTGGTTCTGGGGCCCCTGCTACGGGCAAGGGCCGTGCCTGAGTACCTGCTGGGGCCCGGCACCTGCCCACACCTGCCTGTCCTACAAGGTCCCACTGCTGACTCCCGTGTGCCCCACGGTCACCCCCACTGTGCAGAGGAGGAAACAGAGGCAGCACGGTCTTGCCCAAGGTCACAAGGCTAAGAGGTCACGGAGCTGCTGTGCGGAGAGAGGGGGAGGGCTGAGAAGGTGATTTGGGGAGACAAGCCACACCTGCTGGCTGCTTCCAGCCATCGGCAGTGGCGGAGTGAGGTGGATGCCCCGTGTCCTTCCCTCCCCCCACCCCCCCGACCTCTTCAGTAAAGACCCCCCTGCTCAGGAAGGCTCAGGGTGAGCGGGGCCCTTAGGGGGGCCCGAGTGAGCTGTGTGATCTCGAGTGCTGGCATGGAGGTGACACCCTACGGGACAGGCACACAGCAGGCTCCCAATCAACGCGCACCCACTCGCTCCATGGCTCTCTTGCCCATGTGGAAGGTGGTGGTCCTTGGGCATGAGCAGGGCAGAGACCCACGGCAGCCCCCGCCCTGGCCCCTAGCCCCGAGAGCACCCTCCTCCCCTACCAGGGCTGGCCAAGAGACTGGGCTTCTCCAGGAGGAATTTCTGCGTGGGGAAGAAGGCCTCCTTCGCCATGAGCAGCGAGTCGTCGGGCTTGGCCATGCACTGGGGAGACAGGATGCACGGCTGAGAGCACGTGGTTGGCGAAAGGGTTGGCGAAGGCTCTCTGGGCGGCCCGCCCCGCGGGGACGGCTGTGGGACACTCACCTGGGGGAGGCTGCAGGTGCTGGAAGCCAGCTTCATGGCCTTCAGGATGCTGCCGGAGAAAGCGGAGCAGGTCTGAGCTCAGCCGGGTCCCCTGGGCTGGAGGAAAGGCCTTGCCAGAGGCACTGACCTGCCCCCTTCCCTGACTCGGAATCAATGTTCCCCCCCCCCGACCCACACATGCCTGCACTCGCTGCAGAAACAGGCCGCAAGCGGTAGGCTTCTTGGCAGGTTGTGACCTCACCTGGAGGGCGCTGCCTGAACTGACCCTCCTCTGGCCAGCTTGAGCTTACGTGCGCCCATCATGAGGCGGCTACCTCTACCTCGCACATTCGCCTACAGGAGCTCTTGATGAAAAAGGGCTGAGGATGGTTATTTCTTTTAAAGATGGGCTCTCGCTCTGTCACCCAGGCTGCAGTGTAGCAGCCTGATCATAGCTCCCTGCAGCCTTGAACTCCTGGGCTCGAGCGATCCTCCTGCCTCAGCCTCCTGGGTAGCTGGGACTACATACAGGTGCTCGCCAAGCCCAGCTAGTTCTTAAAACTTTGTGTAGAGACAGAGTCTTGTTATGTTGCCCAGGCAGATCTGGAACTCCTGATATCAAGCAATCCTCCAGCCTTGGTCTCCCCAAGTGCTGGGAAATTTTGATACCCGAGGTGTCAGTGGAGAGGAGACAAGAGTGGGTCTGGCGGGAGGGAGAAAGATGATGAACTTTGCCAAAGGCCCCTTGCTGCTGTCCCCAATGCTACTGGCCAGGGAGGAGCGTGGGGGTCTGTGGAGCCCCACTCCGCATAGTACCTCAGCTCCGTTTTAATTTCTTCATAGTCAGACTGCGCCTGGAGCTTCTCTTCCAGCTTCTAGAAGAGCAAAGAAAGATGGTAAGGTTGGTCTATGTGCTCAGAGGACCAGCTGGGGCTATCCTTCTGCCCGGGGACGCCCACCTGTCTACTGCCTGTCTGCCTCCTTCCCCAAGACCCACCTCTATGGCCTCGGACTTGGCCGTGAGCTGCCGCTCCAGGTCAGCGATCTGGTTGGCGGAGGTCTCCTCTAGCTCCTGCAGAGAGTTCTGGAGGTGCTGCACGTCCTTCAGCAGCCGCAGGATCTCCCTGTCCTTGGAGGCCAGCGCTGCCTCCAGCCGAGGGCCCGAGCACAGCGTGAAGTTCACTTTATCCTGGAGGCAAAGAGGGGTTTTGAGGGGCTGAGAGGCATGGGACAGAGGTCCATGGGGCGGGCCTTCCTGCCCCTGAATCCCAAGCAGAACGAGAACTGGTTGGTCTAGATGCTGGTAAGTGGTGTGTTCACAACGCACAATTCAACGTTCTGCACGCTTACGATATATACCTCTTTCCTTATGCATATTACACTCTAATTAAAACACTTATTAAAAAAGATCAACAAGAACAGAAGGAAATAGTTAGCTGGATGGTAGGATTAGGTTTTTGCAGCAGAGGAAACAGCACATAAAAAAAGTTTGGGTTTCTAAAGCAAGTCCAGCTCCTGACCCAGGGGGATGTCCACATTCCAGGCAACAAGGGACACACAGGACCCTCAAGACTGCACTTGAGACCTTGCAGCCACAGGCCACATTATGGGTTGTTCCTTCCTCCTCATTTGCTGATAGCCTCAAGACCCACGGCTACTCCAGGTTTGAGGAAATGACCTGTGTCCTGGATGAAGATGGACAAGTTTCTGTTTGAGGGAGCTGAAGGCACGCTGGTCTCAGGCTCAGTTACAAATAAATCTAAGCAGCATTAAAACAACAACAACAACAACAACACAAAAACCAACCCACTACTACCAACCCCAGCTTTCTTCCATGGAGATAAATGCCAATTAAAACAGGAAGCGGATGCCATTAATACATTAAATTAATTAGCATCGAGCACCACGGTTGTGCTCAGAAATGTACACTCCCCAAACCAGCAAAGTTCCCTCGGCTGATTAGCACAGGCGTTTGGCGGGTTCCATGGGGGTTAATTAAGAACCACTGGTAGATTCCTCTCGGAGGCGTCCTCATGAGCTCTCCCGCTCTCACCCCTCTCCCCTGTGTTCAGTCTCTCTGGGTTGTGTAATGACCCAGGCACATGGACACACACATACGCTGAGTCCTGGGACACACCTACAGTCACAACACACACTGACCCTTACACCTTCCTGAACACTTATGCTGACATGCGCACACACAGAAATACACAGGCATCAAGGAGTCACACTCACATGGGCATGTCACCAAGAAACACACGAGCATGTGTATGCTCGAAGAGGCCACATGCTCCCATGGGCAAAAACACCCCAGACATACCCAAAACATAGTACTACTACTAATAGTAGCATCAAGTATTTACTGAGCATATACTATGACCCAAGCACCATTTCAGATACTTTACATGCAATCCTTTCAATAGCCCTATAAGGCAGGTGTTACTTGTACAGATGAGGAAACTGAGGCACAGTCAGTTGCCCAAAGGTCACGAGTAGACACACGTATGTGCAGTAACACATGTCTGAGCATTCCAATGTTCAAACAGAAAGAGAGCTGAACACCTGGGACTGTGTATCAGGGTGTCAGGTGAAGTGACATGATGCTGGCCAATTCGGATTCATGGGTGTACACTGCAAATTGCCCTGGAGCAGACCTGTTACTACATGAGGAACCATGAATCTAATCCCTCCGTATGCAAAGATCTGGAAAGAACTCAGGCCAATTTACATAAGGAACCCAAGGCTTTCTGGGAGAGCTGGGATAGAGATGGCTAATATATGACAGAAGGGTAAGTTGGGGTGGCCCCGATTAAAATCCCTTGGCAGGAAATGACAGCAGGACCCCAAAGGGCCAGGAACCAGAAGGAAGGAGAAAGGTGACTTGATTAACTAGAATTAACACAGGAACCTCAGGGTTGATGACCGAAAGCTGGCTCTTCATAGCATGTGGCTGGGGTGGGAAACACCACTGGAATCACCCTGGCATGTTTTGGGAACCAATGACTGAGCATGAGTGTTGAACTTCAGACCCTGGGATATGGCCCCACTGCAGTCCTGGCAGGGATTAAAGACCAGCAAGGGGATCACTAGCCCCCATGTACACCAAGCTGTGTGAGACCAGTGGTCAACAGCGCCGCCTGGTGGTAGTCACCAGACCTGCACTGCTACGGCATTGCTCAAACTTTTCATGATTTCTTTACTGGGGTATCTGGCAACAGGAACGAAGTTCTGGGCATCCGTTAACAACTGGGGGTGAGGGAGGCCTCCAAAGGAAGAGACTAGGCTTCCTGTCAATCAAAGGTGTATGAAAACTTGAGCTCTGACCCTTTAAAACTTCTAGTTTTAAAGAAGTGTGGCTGTAATTTTACCCTAAGCTGGTAAAGCAAGCCACAGTAATTATGTTTAACAACGCAATGACCTGACAACAAAGACACTGTGTCTGCTATATGCCCACGGAGACCCACACACATTCACGCTCCCAATGTCACACAGTCACACGTGATCAACTACAAAATTGTCCCTCACCTGTTCATACCCCCAAACATGGCCTTGCCCAATCTTTCCCTCTGCTCACCCCCCCACCCCCGCCCCACAACCCCATCCTTACCCCACTGGGCCCCTGGGGGGAGCAGCAAGCCAGGCGGATGGAGCTGTTGACAGAGGCCAGCTGTTCCCGGAGACTTTCCACCTCGCGCTGGGCAGCCTCTGCTCGCTGGGGAGGAGAGGGGTGAGAATGGTCAGCAGCTGAGCATGGCCCTGTGGGGCCCCACCCTGTCCAGGAAGGGGCTGGGGTGGCTGGTCTCCAAGGGCCTGGGGTCCTCCTTTCCTGGTCCTGGATCCAGTCCTGGAGCTATGAAGGCCAGTCACAGAGCTCTGGGCTGGAAAAAAGAAATAGCAGGCCCTGTGCCTGTGTCACTCCTGAGAAGTGACAGGAAGAACCCCCTCCCCCAGAGGTCCTGGGTTCCCCTGGGGTGCTTGGAACCCCAAGAGGAATCACAATATTTCCCAAATGGTGGGACTGGCAAGTTTTCACACATTTCTAGGCTCTTCTGCCTGCCATGTAACCTTTAGGCCTGGCTAGCCAGAAGGTTAGAATTTAGTTGGGCAAGTCCTGGCATAGGGGCTCACATCTATAAGCCCAGCACTTTGGGAGGCTGAGATGGGAGGATTGCTTGAGGCCAGGAGTTTGAGACCAGCCTGGGCAACAGAGAGAGACCCTGTCTCTAAAAGGGAAAAATAAAGAAAAAAAAAAAAAAGAAAGAAAGAAGAAAGAATCTCTACTAGCTCTCATGACACCTGGTATGGAATGAGTCCGAGAATGGGCATGTGCAGAGGTGACTTCCCAGCCCACGGGCTGTTACAGGCCCCTGGGCAAGTCACTTCTCCCGTGGTTGCAGTTTCCCTTTTGTGAAATGGGGGCAATGAAAACACCTATTGCAGAGGGCTTCTGAGTGGTTAAAATCAGAACATGGCAGTTTACTAAATTGGGTCTATGGTAGATCTTAACTCTTCAATAATTTGTAAGAAAAATGCCTGGAATTAAGCACTCAGATGTTAACGATGTAGCTTCGTAGCTTTAGAGAGAAATCTAGGCTGAAATCCCTATTTTGACACTTTCCGATTATGTGACCTTGGGCAAGAGACTTTGTCTCTCCAGCCTCAGTTTCCCTATTTGTAAAATGGGGATTATGAGAGCAACTATCGCTGTAATCCCAGCATTGTGGGAGGCCAAGGTGGGAGGATCGCTTGAGGCCAGGAATTCAAGATCAGTCTGGTCAACATAGCAAGATCTAACCTCTACCAAAAATTAAAAAATTAGCTGGGCGTGGTGGTGCACGCCTGTAGTGCCAGCTACCCAGGAGACTGAGACAGGAGGATCGCTTGAGCCCAGGAGTTCAAAGTTGCAGTGAGCTATGATAATACCACTGCATGCCAGTCTGGGGAACAGAGTGAGACTCTGTCTCTTAAAAAATTAAAACAAGGCTGGACGTGGTGGCTCAGGCCTGTAATCCTAGCACTCTGGGAGGCCAAGGTGGGCGGATTACTTGAGGTCAGGAGTTGGAAACTAGCCTGAGCAAGACCGAGACCCCGTCTCTACTACAAATAGAAAGAAATTAATTGGCCAACTAATATATATAGAAAAAAAAATTAGCCGGGCATGGTGGTGCATGCCTGTAGTACCAGCTACTTGGGAGGCTAAGGCAGAAGGATCGCTTGAGCCCAGGAGTTGGAGGTTGCTGTGAGCTAGGCTGACACCACGGCACTCACTCTAGCCTGGGCAACAAAGCAAGACTCTGTCTCCAAAAAAAATAAAAATTAAATAAATAAATAAAACAAGGCCGGACACGGTGGCTCATGCCTGTAATCCTAGCACTCTAGGAGGCCGAGGTGGGTCGATCGCTCAAGGTCAGGAGTTCTAGACCAGCCTGAGTAAGAGCAAGACCCCGTCTACTAAAAATAGAAAGAAATTAATTGGCCAACTAAAAATATATAGAAAAAATTAGCCGGGCATGGTGGTGCATGCCTGTAGTCCCAGCTACTCAGGAGGCTGAGGCAGGAGTATTGCTTGAGTTTGAGATTGCTGTGAGCTAGCATGATGCCAGGGCACTCTAGCCTGGGCAACAAAGTGAAACTCTGTCTCAATAAATAAATAAATACATACATACATACATACATACAACTATCTCATAGGGTTGTGTTGCAAATTAAGTGATTTAGCAAGATGCAACTTACTGGATATCTTAGCTTGGTGCCTGACATATATAAATGTGTTGATAATCAGTTTACTTTATTAACATCAGGGTATATTACTTGAAAAAATAAAAGAGCTATGGCCATAGTTTTGCCCTCAGCTGACGAAGCAGATCATAGTGATCATGTTTAATTATATGCTGACCTTGCAAATCAATGCTATGCTCACTGTGTGCATGCGGAGACCCACACACATTCATGTTCACGTGTTAATTAGTTTATTTATTTATTTATTTATTTATTTTTGAGACAGAGTCTCGCTTTGTTGTCCAGGCTAGAGTGAGTGCCATGGCGTCAGCCTAGCTCATAGCAACCTCAGACTCCTGGGCTCAAGCTGTCCTCCTGCCTCAGCCTCCCGAGTAGCTGGGACTACAGGCATGCGCCACTATGCCCAGCTAATTTTTTCTATATATATCAGTTGGCCAATTAATTTGTTTCTATTTATAGTAGAGACGGGGTCTCGCTCTTGCTCAGGCTGGTTTTGAACTCCTGACCTTGAGCAATCCGCCGCCTCGGCCTCCCAGAGAGCTAGGATTACAGGCGTGACCCACCGCGCCCGGCCTTAATTGGTTTATTATCTGTTTGTTTATTGGTATTCTGCATTGTCTCAGAAATGGTTCAAGTCAATTTTGTTGTGGGAAGGGTTTTGGGTGTGCGGGCCTGTGGGGAAAATCTTTTCATGTTTCTGCAGTTAGAACTTTGATGGAAACTTGAGATCTAGGTTTAAAGGAGAAACCTTGGAAAGTCAACTCATGACTCATCAGCTTGCAAGAAATGCAGAGAATCTGCCCCGCTGGAGGTCTGTGTTTGGATGTCAAGGGCAGGTGAGACACACACTGTGGAGACAGCCCGGGGCGGGAAACCCAGGTTTTAAAGCCACTAGTCTTAGCTTGCCCTGGAGAGATGTATTGACATCGCAAAGGCTAAGGCCAGGGATCCTCCTCCTCCTATCTATGGAGACACTAGGGAGACAGATTCTTTCTCTCCCTCTCTCAGAAGTTCCGTCTCCCACACACCCACCCAGATGTGTAATTGAGGGGTCCTCGCCGACAGCACAAACTTGGTTCTGGTTCTCATTTTGTCACCCCAGGGGTAAGGATCAGGGGCAAACTTTCATACATAGTTATTATCATGCAAGTTTTATTTGAACACAGCCACGTTCATTTGTTTACATACTGTCTATGCCTGCGCACTGTGACGGCAAAACTGCGTATCTGTGACAGAGACTGCATGGTGTACAAAGCTGAAAATATTTCCTCTGACCCTTTACGGAAAGTTTGCTGTCCCCTGGGCTGGACGATGGAGCATCCCAGCGGAGGGACACTGTGCAGCAGAAGGAGCTGCTTTACACAGACGTGGAATGAGCTTGACGATATCAACGTATGGAGAAAAAGGTTTAGGATGGTATATGCAGTATCTCAGGGTTTTGTTTACAAATAGATTTATTCATGGACTTGTGAATGGATCGTCTATTTCTGGAAGGGGAACCCAGAAGCTGGTAAGAGAGGTGGCTTCGGGGGGAGAAGAAATAGGAGAGACAGAGTTTCCCAGATATGCCTGAATGGCCCTGTGTGAGTTTTGAACTACGCAAATGATTACCTACTCAAAAACTAAACTAAACCTCTATGTAACCCGTGATTGCTTCAGAAAAATATGTTGGAGCTAAGCCCAGGGAAGCCACTGTGATCACCACCACCACTGTCACTGTCACCTGGCCCTGTCTCTGGGCTCCCTGACCCTCAATAGGGGACGCTTCTCCTATGGGGGTGTGGGTGGGGGTTCATGGGGCCTCAGCACTGCCAGCCCAGCCCAGGGGCCCAGCTGGAAGTCCCGCCCCTATGGGGCAGGGACAGTGGGCCGGGCTGGGCCTGCATCTTCTGGTGGTTTCCCAGGGACTCAGGCCCAACCCTCTTACACAGGCTTCCTCTGCAGGAGGGGTGAGTGCCCCTGCCCTATGCCCACAGGGCCACACCTTGGGCCTCTGTCCCTGCTGTGCCTTCTCCTGGATGCCCTTTTTCAAGGGGACGGTGCCAGGACTATAAAATCCAGCTTCAAAGTGTCCTCCAAGAGGCCACCTCATCCACCTCCGGGAAAACGAGTGCCTGCCCTGCCGTGGAGTGGGCCCTCGGACCTTGGGGTGCACAGGTGTCTCCTTCCACCCCCAGGCAGGAAGACAGACCCAGGGACAGAGGGCTTGAGGTCCTGCTGGCTCTGGCCCCTGGCTGCTGGCACTGCAGGGAGCCGGGGCACAGGTGTAGTGAGCACATGACACTCAGGACTGGGTTCCCATGGCGGAGACCCACCGCCTTTCAAAGGCCTGCCTGACTCTGCCACGTCTGAAGTCAGAGGAAGGTAGGACGCAGGAACCCCACTCACAATGTGAACGCCGACACTTGGGACCAGGGCTGGGGCTGGACGATGGGGACCCGGGGGAGGCTGAGGGTCCACCCAGTACTCATCGAGCATGGCTGGGACCGAGTGAGGGGCTGCAGGAGACCTCAGGTGGGCAGGGAGGAAGGGAGAGAAGCAGCCTCTGGCAAGTCCCATCACCACCCCCAGCTCCTCACGCAGTCTGTTTTGGGAGAGATGACTGTCCCAGCGCATCCCGGGATCTCTGAATTACTGCCCTATGGCCACCAGGCTGGCTCCCCGCTCCCGGCTCCGCCCCTGCCATCCCTTTAGCCGTCCCTCGGAGCCCTTCAGGCCTCAGCTTCCGGTCCTTTCCTTCAGGACGTCTTCCAGGACCCCTGCAGTCTGGGTAGGGACCCCTCCCTGTGACGCTGCCTAGGTCACTATTTCCTGGTGTGTCTGTCTGCAGCGCACCCCACCCGCCCTGGCCCAGAGGTCGGCGAGGGCGAAGACGGGGCCCTAGCCACCCCGGCGCGCTGGGCGGCACACGCATAGTTCAGTAAGTATTGCTCACGCTCAGCCCCGCTGCCACCCGGCCGGCCCCACTCCGGCGCCTCCTCACCTGATTGGCTTTCTCCAGGTTGGTCATGATCAGGCCGACTTCATCTGCCCTGAGACGTAAGGACAAGACCCTGAGGAAGGGCTCCCGGCAGCCCCGCCGGAACCCGAGAGGGTAGGAGGAAAGAACCCAGGCTGCAGGAGGCGGGAAGAGGCACCCCGCACGGCACCGCTTCCGCGCAGCCCGGCCGCCCACCTCCCACAGGGCCACTCTCGGAAGAGCTACGGCCTGGGCCTTCCTCCCTGCGGTGCCTTCTGCCTGGAGCCTTCCTCGAGAGGGTGCGCAGGGCTTTACACCCAGCTCCAAAGTGTCCTCCTGGGTGGCTCTGTTAACCACCCCCAGGGGGCACTTGTCCATCATGCTGTCCACCCCCTCCAGAAGCCAGCACCAAGGGGCTCAGGACAGGCCCCCCTCTGCCTCTTGTGGGGTGGGGGACATGGGAGGCCTGTGGGGAACATTTGGGGACTAAAGGCCACACACGCGCTCCACACATGCTCAGGGCCTTTCTTGGCCCAGGCTTTTCCTGCTGATGGGAGCACCCTTCCCAGTATTCTTCACGGCCCTTCTCCTCCTCACTGTTCAGGGCTTATCCTGAAAACTACCTCCTCTAGGGAGTCCTCCCTGACTACCCTGGATAAAGGACCCAACGCTCCCCTTGCCATTCTTTCTTCCTGCCCCTGGTTCTTCCTGTCGAAGAACTGACCTATGCAGAGAATAGCACAGGGCATACAGTCAGTGCTCAATAGTGTACAGGAATGAATTTATCACCCCACATCAGTTTTTGCCTGTCTCCTCTCTTCCTCTGATAGGGTCATCTTCTCATGTCTCCTCCAGGGACCCAGCATGGCACCGGATAAACAGTAGGTGCTCAACACGTGTTTGCAGAATGAGCGATCTCTCACAGCCTGAAGAAGTGTTTGAGTGCGGAGTAACTGAGGTGAAGGCCACTTGCCCCTGAGGGCTGGAGTGTGGAGCTGGGGACCAGGGACAGCCTCAGAGGCTGGGGCAAGGCGGGGGCCACTGCCCGGCAGCCCCTGCTTGACCCAGGTCCTGGAGCACGAGTGGCACGGCAAGTGACTGGGGCGGCTGTGTGCCTCGGGGGCCGGGGACAGAGGTGCCTCATGAAACAGGGGCCTTGGGCAGAGTCAGGAGGAGGAAACATGTCTGAGAGCCCTGAGGGGGGGCACCTCAGCGGGCGTCACTTACTTGGATGCCGCCTCCTCGTCGTATTTCCGCCGCAGCTCCAGCAGTTCCGCCTGCGTGGCCTTTAACGCTGGGAGAGGACGAAGGAGCAGGGTGAGGCCCCCGGGGCCGAGTGGGGCAGGCCAAGGCCCCCAGGGAGGTGGCACCTGTCCCCTGCGGCTGGCAGGCGGAAGGAGGGTGGGGTAGTCCGGGAGACTTTCTCCTTTTTCTCAGTGAAACCTGGTGACGGATAGTGAGCTCCCTGCACCTGCAGGGGTCCAGGCTGGGGGGAAGGACGTGGAATGGGCAGGGGGGGCAGCAGGGCAGATGAAGCGACTCTAAGGGTCTAGGACAGGGGTCCTCAAACTTTTTAAACAGGGGCCAGTTCACTGTCCCTCAGACCGTTGGAGTGTGCGGCACACATTCCACACATCCGCACTGTGCACCCAAGAAGAGTTGGCTGCTAAGCAAGACAGGCAGTGGTGGCAAAAACACCCAGCGGGCCAGATAAATGTCCTCGGCGGGCTGCACGGGCCCGCCGGCCGTAGTTTGAGGACACCTGGTCTAGGAACCTCAGGGGGCCCAGGCCGGGTGCGGGGACTGTGGTGTTGTTGCCCCATGGCCAGGGGTCCAAGCCCCCACACCCTACAGTCTCTCCAGGCCCGGAGTGGGGCTGTCTATCCATGAGCTCGACCACCCTGCAGTCCCCACTTGGTAGGCAAAAGGGACAGAGGAGCAATAAAGCCAACAGACTCATGTATGTCACAGCCAAGATTCTGTGAAATTCCAGATTTCCAATGTCTCTAGGAACTAAAGCGAAGGGTTGGCCATGTGAACCGTGCGGAACCGTGGGCCCAGCGGGTGCGGAGCAGCAGCTAACCGCCTTGGCTGCAGCCCGTGTCTCCAGTGTGCCCCAGCCCGCCTGGCTGCTTCCCTAACCCGTGGCTCGGTGGCGGCTGGCCCCTGAGGACATCATGTCTGCCCCCGACTCGACTCTCTCAAACCCTCTTTCCATAGCACTATGGCCTCCGGGGACTGGAGGCCCAGACCCCCGCCAGGGGAGGTAGCTCTGCTCTCCCCCTCCCCAAACTCCCTCCTGCCCTCCTGTTTCTAGAACATCTGAGTGTGGCGGTCCCAGGCTGTGCCAGACACGTACCTGAATGTAGGACTTTGATTTTCTCCTCTGCCTCCCCCAGTCTGGCCGCCAAAGTGATTTGTACTTCCTGAAGGCCCCTGTGGGGAGACCAGGCCTGCTGGTGGCTGCGGGGACGGGCTGCGCCTGGGCCCCGTCCCACTTCCCGTCTCCTCACTTGTGCCTGTCATTGGCACCAGGCTCCTCACTGAGCCCTTAAACAGGACACTCGTGCTCGGCCGTCCTGCTGTGCTGCCATGTTATGACTGGACTGTTAAGCTTCTGTCAACATTTTTGGGAGCAAAAATTTATAGCAACAACTGACTTTACCTCTCTGGGCCTCAGTTACCCCGTCTGTGAATGGGGTTTCTGGTGGGTGCTCAGTGTGGTGGCTGGCACCCGGTACTCCCTCAGTGTCAGGGTTACTGCTACTGTCCTGGAGGAGGCCTGTCTCCCCGTTTTTGTGGCAGGAGCGTGGAAGCTCAGCCACTCCACGGGGTGGGGGGCCAGCTCCAGTATGATTCAAGCCTCTCCACAGAGCAGGGCCCAAGCTGGTCGGGGGAGGGTGCACACAACACCCAGGCCTGATGTCACCTGGCTCAAGGTATTTATCTTGTTTATTCAGGTATTTTCCTCGCTACAAAGAAAACTCCAGGGCGGCAGGGAGTTTTGTCCGCGTGTGTTGTCATAGCCGTGTTCCCCAGCACCTAGAACAGGGCCTGGCACACGGCAGGTGGCTCCACAGATGTGTGATGAAGGAAGGAAGGAGTATGAATGAATAAAAGGATAAATGTCACCCCTTCCAAAGAACTGTCCTGGAAACGGTGCATGACCCCAGGTGCTATCACCACCGCTCCAGTGGTAAAGGCCACCACTTCGGGACATGCCAGGACAGGCACTGCCTGGTTTTACTCCCACAGGCTAGGAGTGGATGCCACCTGTGACTGTGTCGTGTCCACCTGGCAAGGCTACACCCCCAGGTATTCAAGCACATGCTAATTTGGGGGTGGCTGTGAAGATACCCTGTAGGTGTGATTAATGTCAACAATCGGCTGACGCCAATCTGCAACCACGTGGGTGGGTCTCGCCCAGTAAGTTGAAGGTCTCAGGAGAGAGTGAGGAAGACGACGCTCTGCTTCGAGACCGCAGCACTGATCCTGCTCTTCTACCCAGTTCAGACTTACCAGCCCCATACAGTGTGAGCTAAGTCCTCAAAATGCATCTTTTTTTTTGAAACACTTGCCTGGACACTTGCCCAGGCTAGAGTGAGTGCCGTGGCGTCAGCCTAGCTCACAGCAACCTCACACTCCTGGGCTCAAGCAATACTTCTGCCTCAGCCTCCCGAGTAGCTGGGACTACAGGCATGCACCACCATGCCCGGCTAATTTTTTCTCTATGTATTAGTTGGCCAATTAATTTCTTTCTATTTATACTAGAGACAGGGTTTCGCTCTTGCTCAGGCTGGTTTCGAACTCCTAACCTTGAGCAATCCACCCACCTCGGTCTCTCAGAGTGCTAGGATTACAGGTGTGAGCCACCACGCCCGGCCTCGAGCCATCTCTTAATAAAAAACCATCCTACTGGTTCTGTTTCTCTGGCGTATGCTAACGTGCCATTGCTAGGCCCATTTGCCATGTGGGGAAACTGAGGCTCAGAAGGGTGATGTGACTCGCCCAGGGCTGGCCACTCAACCCAGGCCTGGAGTCTGAAGCCCTCACCCTTTCCAGCATCTGGGTCCCAGCCCGCACCCAGGTTCCCTGAGGCTGGTTCCTGGGCAGGAGACTTTCCTGTTCCCACCTCCCAGCCAGGGGTTCTCCCGCCCTCCCCTGTTCCTCTGTCCCTCAGCCTCCCTCACTTTTGTTTCTCTGCCTCATTTCTCTGCAGCAAGGTTTCTGTCAGGAGGGCTTTCCCAGGAATGCCTGGGAGGCGGCTCCCCTCGGTCAGCGTGGGCCCGGCAGGCAACGTCCCCTCTCTCTGCTCTGCAGGGAGAAGAACAGGGAAACACATCGGTGAGAGCCATGTGACAGCCGGAGTGGCTTTCTGCAAGCTGGATCGATCATCAACTGTGATCGACTTCCCAAATGTGGGCGTGGGGGAGCATGGTGGCCCTCGGCCCCGCATCTGCACACGGATCGAGTTCCTGTCGCCACAGCCTTGGACCGCACACCTGGAAACTTCCTTGCCAGCTCATGTTTCCTCTGCCTTATCATTTTTTTTTAAAAAATTGTGGTAACATATACATAATGTAAAACTCACCCTTTTAACCATTCTAAAGCGATATTTAGTACAGCTGCGCTTTTGTGCAATCAACGCCACTAACTCCAGGACATCGTCATCGCCCCAGGAGGAAAGCCACAGCCATTGAACATCCTCTGTTTCCCCCGCCTCGGCCCCCAGGACCCGCTAAGCGACTGTCTGTCTCTGCGGATTTGCCTGTCCCGCGCACTGCGCAGCAGTGGGATCCTACATCACGTGCCCTTTCTCTGGTCTCGCCACCGGCAGGCACACTGTTCGCAGGCTCGGGCGCGCTACAGCAACTTCGCCGCGCTTCACGCTCACGCGCTGCTCCATCGCAGGCCGACCACCCGCGTTTACCCACTCACCGCGGACGGACATCCGACTGGTTTCCCCTTTGGTCACTGTGAATAGCACCGCTCTGCACGTTCCTGGAGGAGTTTTCATTGGAGCAGTTTTCAGTTCTTTGGGGACAGACCTAAGAGTGGCATCGTTAAACACAGACACGGCAGTCTGCGTTTAACTCACTGAGTAGTCACCAGACTGTTTTCCTCTCCCCATGTTGGGGGCACACACGGCCACTCAGTCGCCCCCGCCTCACCTGCAGGTGAAGCCACGTGGTAGGGCCCTGTCATGTCCACCCGGGCAGGCGCCGAGGCGGCTCGTCCTGGGGGGAACACTGAGTCACTGTGGGAGGAGAGGGCGCTCGGGGCAGCCACTGAGGGCAGGAACCTGGGCTGAGTTTTCTCTGCAGCTGACGGACCACACATTTGACCCATTCGTTTGTCGACATCTAGCTCCCCTTGTAGGAAGTAACCACCACGAGGCGGCGTGTGCGTTTGTTTCACTCCCAGCTGTCCCCGTGTCTGGGCCAGTGCCTGGCACGCATCCCAGCGAGCTCCCAGCAGTCAGACCGTCACCGATGGCCTTCCCTGCACGGTTGCTCGTCCCGCTGCTGAGCCCCGACTCACCCACCAGGGGTGACCACCTCGCTGAATCTCGTTCCTCGTTCTCTTGCTTTAAAAAAGTTTTTATCGTCATATATGTACACTGAAACACTGTACTTTTAGCTCTGCCAGTTTCTTGATTTTTGTTGAAAGGGTGCTGTGCTCAATGAGGTCCTTCAGTCCCAAGGATTCACCTGTTGGCGAGCATAGCTGTCGTCTGTTCATTGTGACGGCTGACCCGATTCTACCGTGTGAGGATGCCATCTGCCTGTCTGGTCTCCTGTCACGAGGTTGCAGGGCTGTGCTGTCCCACCCCTCGGGCCCTCACTGTTGCTGCCTCAGGGTCCTGGGGGCGACAGTGAGGAGCTTGTGTGGCCCCGGTCCGGTCTCCTGTCTTGCTGTGTGGATATCAGGCTGTAACCTCCACCACTGGCTCCCTCAGTCTGGGTCGTCATGAGTCCCAAGCTTACAAGGTCAAAGGCACAACCACACGCTCCCTGCTCAGACCCCAACACTAAGATTCAGGGGCTCCAAGGGCCCATGACCATACACTCTCAGTCCAGAGGCAGAAAGGAAAAACGGATGTCATCTAGAACCTGCCACTGGCTCAGGTATTCTTTTTTTTTTTTTGAGACAGAGTCTCGCTTTGTTGCCCAGGCTAGAGTGAGTGCTGTGGCGTCAGCCTAGCTCACAGCAACCTAAACTCTGTTCAATCAGCATTCCTGCTCAGCTCCAAGTAGCTGGACTACGGGCATGCGCCACCATGCCCGGCTAATTTTTTCTATGACCAATTAATTTCTTTTTTAATTTATAGTAGAGACGGGGTCTCACTCTTGCTCAGGCTGGTTTCGAACTCCTGACCTTGAGTAATCCACCCGCCGCGGCCTCCCAGAGTGCTAGGATTACAGGCGTGAGCCACCGCGCCCGGCCTGGCTCAGGTATTCTTAAGGCTCCAGCTCATCTCCCCACACCTGTGCCGGTGCTGTGCGTCCTGCCATCCCGAGTCCCTCTGCTCCAGGACACACAGCCAGACCACATTTCCCAGGTTCCTTTGCAGAGGGGTGCTATCACACCCCTGCGTTTTGGCCAATGTGGGTGGAAGTGATGTATGCCACTTCCTGGCTTGCACCCCATAAACCTCAGTGTGACCTCCACATTCTCTGAGCTTTGGGGCTCATGTGTTCCAGCAGTAGTGTCATCTTACCCCCCTCCCCCCACCTAGAATGATAAAGCCCAGTTCACTGGCCCCACCTCCGTGCCAAGGGTGGCCGAGTTCGCCCGCTGAAGACCTGCTGCCCAGTCGTTTGTCACAGAATCCCATGAAGCCTTAGCGGTACCTTTGGGGCCAAGGAGCTCGGGGTTCCTCTTCCACGAAGCGTGGAGGTCTCGCCGGGGCTGCCCACTGGGGTTGAAGCTGGGGGGCTGCAGTCTGTTGTCGTCTAGGCTGCGAACCGCTTCGAACACAGGCACGGGGTCTGTGCAGAGAGAGGAGATGGGGTGCTGAGAGCCCTGTGGACGGGATGCCCAGCCTGCGGCTTCGGGTCCCTCCCTGGTGAGCTGGGGGACCATCCATGAGAGCCACCTGGAGTCACCCTGGTGGCTTATGGGGAGCAACGTGGACTTTCTGCTTGACAAAGGAGCAGCCCCCTCTGGGCTCCTGCTTGGGGGAGTGCGTGCTGTCCCCATGGGGTGGGTGTCCTGCCCAGATGGGATAACAACAATAACAATTGTCACGATAACCGCATTTCTCGATTCTATGATGCCATCTGTGGCAGCCACGAGACTGTGCCTTGCAGACCTCCGGCCAGAGGGAATGTCAACGAGCAGGGACCCAGACACCATGCTCTGAGGTCCATCGCTCTGAGGCCACCCCTCCCACAGCCTCCCCCTACGATGCCTGTGTGCAGCGGGGATACTGAGGCAGGACTGCTCTGAGTGCCAACTCTGACACCCCCATGGCCTCACCTAGCACTTCCTCAGCCCATGGGGGGTCCGGGATGCTGCCTGGCTGCATCCCTTCCTGCTTCCCCCGTGACATCCTCACGTGCATAGTCCTCTGCGGCCACTTCTCGCCGACCTGGCCAGGCACACCATCGTTTATGACGTGCGCCGCGGATGAAATACCAGCTTTTCTGGGGGGCAAAGTGTACGCCGGGGGGAAGACGCCTGCCAGCTGCCCGGGTGCTAAAAGGTGAGGAGTGTGGAACTTGGTTCCCTCTCCCAACCTTCACCCAGCAAGCACGTCCTCCTTCCACTCTGGAGTCCAGCCCACTTCCTCCAGGACGCTTTCCCCAACTGCCCCCGCCCAGCGCAGGTACCAGTGACACCTGGACAATTCCAGAGGCCAGTGAGGCGCCTTCCAGGTTAAAAACCCACTCAGAGGAAGGGGCTACCATGATCCTCACAGTGCCCCCTGGAGGCCAGTTTGGATCCAACTCATTCTCATAGGTGAGGAAACTGAGGCTCAGAGAAGCCAGGAGACCTCTGCAGGGTTGAAGGTGACACTAGGCTCTGGGTCTCTCGCTCCGATACCACAAAGCTTCCTGTCCTGGTGTGTGCACATCCCAGCCCCGGCAGCGCCAGTGTCCCTGTGGACCAGGAAAGGCAGGCTCCTCCGCCTAGGCCAAGGGGCCTAGGGGCTGGTCTAGTTCTTTCTAATATACTGGAGCCCTTTCTTTCTGGTCACTTCCCTGGAGTCTCCTGCCAGCACGCGCTTGACCACTCACTGTCCTGGAGGAGGATTAAGAGCACGGACTGTAAGTCAGACATCCCTGCACCCTGGTCTAATCCACATTTGCTTCTTGGGAAGCTGTGCAACCTTGGTAAGCAACTCTACCTCTCTGTGCCCCACAATAAAAGCAGCAAACTGCATGGGGCTATGATGATGATCGGCTGAGAATAAACAGAAGCCCTCGCTGTTCCTGTCTGTCTGAGCTCCAGCCGCGCGGGCTTCCTTCTCGGTCCCTGATGGGCACCTACCCACCTCAGGGCCTCGGTCTAGGAGCCTCTGCAGGGAACACCCTTCCCTCCCTTACTCCTTTTAGCTAGTTAATACTTGTCTTCCATATTGCAACTCCAACATCACTCCTTCCAGGAAGTCCTCCCTGACTAGTTGGCCCTCTAATATGTGCTGCCTGCCCTTCCCTCACGGCGCCTGCTGCAGCTACGGCACGTTCGTTCGCAGGCCTACCTGATGGACACCATGGGACCGCGAACTCCACGGGGGGGGCAAGGACTGTACCTGTTTTTGCCTCCCTTCCTCCCCACCACCGGACCCCTTGTCCCTGGCACACAGCCTGACACACAAGCCCACCCTGTAAATATCTGCTCATGGAAGAAACGGGGCAGCGCCTGTACATGGGACCTTCAGGTCTGGCTGGAACAAGGCAACGCTCCGATTTATCCTGCTGTCGCCTGTTTAGGTGGCGGGAGGCTCGGACAATGGGAGCCTGTGCCGAGGTAAGCAGGTGCACGGGGATGCCGCGGCGGCGTTCCTCTGTCAGCAGCCCCCACGCCCCGTCATTAGGCAGGGCCTGCTCAGCAGGGTATGCCATTATGTCTCCCCGGGCTGATGTAATTATACATTGACATAATTAACCCAGCAAGCGCATTAGGCAGGCCAGCTAAAAATTCATCTATAATTATTTGTTGTGTGCATGCTAATGAGTCCATCTGCACTGCCTTTGTACAACACGAACAAATTAATTTACAAGTCTGGATTTTTTAATAAGTTCAAGGAAACGCTTCCTATTGTGTCCTGGTTTTTGAGAAAGGAAGAAAAAGGCAGCGCGCGCTCGCCAGGGTCAGGGAAGTTAGATAAACACGGGAGGCCGCGGCGCCAGGCGGCCACGGAGGGCTGCCCTGCTCCCGAGGAGGGGAGACCGGCTCGTGGCCCAGGCCGGCTGGCCTCGAGCCCGTCCGAGCCAAACGATTCCGCTCGTGATAAAGGATGTCTGCCACTCTGAGGCCTGCGGGTGGCTCCCTGCTGGCTGCATGCTGTCCTGGGGAAGCTGGCCTCAGGTGGCCGGTTGCTGACACCGTGTAGAACATGGCTGTTAAGCTCACAACATCCCAAGTCCAGCTCTGGGTCCAAATCTCATGGGGTTTTGAACCTCAGTTTCCTCATTTATCAAATAGGAAAAATGTAACCATTCTTACTTCCCAGGAATTGTCAGGCAGATTAAGAAAGGTCCTGAGAGAGGCAGTATGACTTACAGAGCGGGTGTCCACTGGACTCCAACTGGCCATGTTGGTTAACCTCTTGGAGCCTCTGTTTACTCATCTGTACAGTGGGGCTGTGTGGGTGGGGTGTCGCGGGGACTGGGGAGAGAAGGTGTGCAGAGACCCGCACAGCGCTACGCACAGAGCAGGCTTGCTATGCGCGGGCTGCTGCTGGTGCCCTGAGACGCCAGCGCACCAGGCTCCTGGCATTCCGGGAGCTGCTGTCCATGAGGTGACGCTGTGGAGTGTCGGGGACAGGGAATGGCTTCCCATGTTTGCATAAGTCCCCAGGAGACCCAGAATCCAGTAATCTCGCTTTGAACTAACCTTACTCTGAGGCCCAAAGACTCCAGCTTAGAAAGTCACACAGGCGAGGGACATATCAGATCAATTTGTCCAATATCCCCCAAGCCCAGGATACAGTGGGGTCCAGTGATGCCCCTGAAGTCTGCCGGAGTTGGTGGCGGGGCTGAGATGGGTCCTTGGACCTTTTCCTCCCGCACTCTGTGCCTCCTGGTTCCCTGATCTGAGGGAGAGGGTAGCGGGAGGGTGGCATTCAGACACCTCAGCCAAAATCAGGCTGTAATTGAATCCCAGGAGCCAAAGCAGGGATCGGAATCCATTCACTCTGCACCACGACACTCGAGGTCTTTGAGTGACCCTGCTGGCTCTTCAACAGGGGGCATATCAGAGTCCCCTGGGGAATGTGTCACACATCCTTGGGACTCAGTCCTAAAGATTCCTGCGTGGACGGTTGGAGTGTCTGTCTGTCTTTCCACGATGGAGGTGGGGGTCCCGAATGGCTCAGCTGTTAGACCTGTGGGCCAGGGGGGACGTGGGGTTGTGACTTCCTCCTAGCTTCCCAAGGGGCTGTCAATCAAGATGTCCTGCCTTCCCTTGGCAAGGAGGGTCACCTGACTCAGGCTGGCCAATCAGACGCTCTGCCCTGGGACTTTGACTCCCTCCGTGCGGCTCTTACTGCTCTGGCCCATCTGAGCAGATGTTCTTGCCATTCTCCCCACCCCGGGCCTTCTAATAAATTCTTCTCCTGCTTAACACCTTTGCCAGAGTTGGCTTTTGCTGCATGTCCCTAACGAACCCTGATTGATAAACCTGCTGAATTTTAACCAAGGGAGCCCCAGAAATCACTGGTCCAATAGGTTCATTTCAAGGCTGGGTAAAATTGGGCCACACATAATAGGATTGAGGAGCAAATGCTCAGAAGACAGCGGGGAGGGGCCAGGCACACCCAGGCTTTATGCAGCACTGTCCCAGGCTTGGAGGATGACGTCTGGCTCAGTTTGAGCTGACTCTCAGGGCAACCTGGCTAGGAACGCAGCCAGGAAGGACAGACCTGCCACAGTGAGCCAGGAGGAAGAAAGAGGCTACAAAGGTCTGTTTGCTGACATACACTAGGTGCATAATAAATGTCTGCTCAATAACTGAGGCAACTGGAAGTTAGTGCATGTGAGTTGCAGAAGGGGAAAGCTTGACTGAGTAGAAGTTTGATTGGCGTGAGAGCAGGGCTGAAGAGGTGAGCTTGGAGCACAGCTCTGGGGGCAGAGCCATCTGGGTTCGAATCCCACCTCTGCCACTTACTCAGTGTGGGGTCTTGAATAAGGCATTTCAGACCCGTATACTTCATAGTTCCCTTCTGTAAAAGGGAGACACTAATAGCATCTACACCAAGATCACCGTGAGGAGTTGGTGATGCAAGTTCTGTAAAGCAGTTAGCACAGTACCCGGCACGAGTGCTCAGTACAGGACAGCAGGATTATTTTCAGGGAGGCTGGAGGGGACCAACTCTCTCATCCTGGCTCTGCTGTGGTACTGCCTGGCTTCGTCTCTTGGGCCAGGCTCCTTTGAGACAGGGCACGGGGGCCTTGATTTCTTACTATTAGGCCAGAGAGGGCTCTCCTTGGTTCTGTTAGCTTGCTGTGTGACCTCGGACAACGCACTGACCTCTCTGGGCTCTCCTGTCCAAATTCGTATTACAAGCACATCCCAGACATATATTCAACATTGGTCATTGACAAACAGGGGGCAAGGTTCCGCTGAGGTGAGCACTTTTGGCCCTAGGCCTATCCCTTAGTTGGGTGTTCAGGGAAGGTGATTATTAAACACTTTCACAGTTGAACTTGATACAAAAGGTACGAACACTGCAAACGCCCCAAATTCCCAAAGCCATCCTCGGAGAAAGAGGGGGGCCAGGCTAGAGGTCAAATCCTGGCTGTACCACCATAACGGAAAGTCA